CTTCATGACACTGAAAACTCTGACTTTAAGCTCAACATACCTGCTAACCCACTAACCTTGCTTCGTAGTGCAGCCCTCAGGCTCGTGTTCAGAGATGTGACCACGACAAAAACACAAAATGCAAACTTATCACAGCATCTGTCCTTCACACAGCACAGCTTTGCTTTGTCTCATGAAGACAACGTCAGGGTCTTGGTGTTATTAGACCTTGGCGCTCAACGCTGGTCACAACATAATCCGCACCACAACAAAATCAGACAAAACTATTCAGAGTCAGGACTGTTGTGTGCTTTTGATCGTCACATTACAAATGCAGTTTATCCGAGTACAAACAGTGAAGTTTGGTGGAAGAAATGTCAGACAATGGAGGAAAAAAGTTTCCTAATACTGAACACGACAACCTCACATGTGAAGTGTTTCTGATTTCAACCAGCTGGTGCAGCATAACAAAGTGTGAGACACACCTGTAACTGGTTGATCTAGTTACACACATACCTGTACAGGTTGTTTATATTGATAATCCGACTTCTGTGCTCATATCAAAGGCCCTATAGCTCAGTGGTTAGAGCACTGGTCTTGTAAACCAGGGGTCGCGAGTTCGAATCTCGCTGGGGCCTAGATCATGTTTTTCTGCTGTTATTTTTTAACCCTGGGCGGTCACTAATGATCACACTGATTAACAGGAAACTTTAAGTGACTATTAATCGCTGGTGCTGACACCTGATGCTCACTGGAAAATAAATTTAGGAGAATGTTTCTTACATTTGTGAATGATTATATCAGAAAATTAGGAAGAAATCATGTTTAGAAGATGAAACTGGCATCAAATGTAGGTAGTGATAACTTGTTTTGACCAACCGCCTGTCACACACGCTGACATGAGGCCTGAAAGTTCTCTTCTAAGTCTCCTTCATGCAATCGTTACTCTCCAGTAGTACATCTATGTACACTTAAAAACGTAGATCTTCATGCTTCCACATCTGTCAGTTAATAAGACACATCAGTTAATAAGACACATCAGTGTGGTATCTGAATGTACGTAGCTGCATTTAAGTATTTATTTTAGCTTCAGGCTAATTTCACTACCTTTACTTCTAAGTGATATCTAAGAGGTTGTTTTTTTCTGTCTTGAATCTGTCAACATCAGAATAATAATGATGACACACTGTTTGACTTAAAAATTGCTAAAAACAAAAACATGTGCTTAGTGTCTTAGGGAGATAAAGGTTCCTTCACTGCAGTGTTCACATACATTGGACTATTTGCTCAGGTGGCCACTCCTTCACAACGGCACACAGGTGACCTGCGCTCACCTTTTGTATCCTTCATTTTATGTTTATTTTCATACCAAGTGGAATGCAACGTCAGCCTTATGCTGGGGACAAACAGGATTACTCTCTGGTTTATTGAAGGGAAAGTTGATTATTTTACTAACTGCCTTCTATTATCTTTATTGTTATCCGAGCTTCTTCTGTCGTTATTATTTTCCTACTCAACTTCACTTTTTTTTTACTCAATGTACTTCCCAATTCAGCTGAGAAGCAGAAGTTTGAAAGCTTATAAAGCTCTCGTCCCGCATTTCCTTAGGATGTGACATCAACCTATTATTGCATTAATCAGATATCAACACTTGTGTGTAGAGCTGTATGCAGATCTGATTACATCTGAATGAAATTTATGATTATTGTTTTAGACACTAGAATTCTAGGAAAGGTTCATTTGCGCGGCTTCCTTTGATGTGAGCTCCACCTCGCTGCAATTCATTCTTTAAGAGCAATTCAACTGACAAGAAAGAATATGAATTCAAACACAAACTAAGTCCGTCTGGCTCTAAGGATTAAACAAACCCCGGGAAAAGGAATAATTTTAGAAGTGATTCCTCAAGTTTGTAAGTTTGACTGAAAAACAAGTTTCTTTTTTGCACATGTGCCAACATAAACACCTATGTGCACTGTAGACTATACTGCGGCAGTAAAAAGCAAATTGCTGATAACTGTGGAAAAGGTTTATTGTCCTGTATGTACAAATAAAAATGGATGTCTGGCTAAAGGTCATTGAGTTGAGATAAACACGGTTGGAAGGCAGTACCTCCTTGAGTAGAGGGGATCCATGAACAGCTCTGGAACCGGAAGTCCCTCGTCTCTGGCGATCAGATACAGCCCCAGAAGATGTCGGTCAAAACCTGCCGACAAAATCACAAAATAATGTAAAACACACATCAGTCACTGACAATAAACTCAGTTATAGTCAAACTTTAGTTACACTCAATTTATCTGTCGCACAAAGCTGTTTAGCTCTTGAATCTTGAAACTTGATATTTTATTGATTTTTTTCAGGAAATTACTTTGTGTAGCAGCGACAATCACAGTAAAAACAACACTGAACATGATACATTTTCCAGCATAAAAAGGATTCACAGAACTACAAAAACATACTAAAGACTTAGTGGGAGGACACAAAAATGCCTAAAAACACAGAGACCAGATATTCTTTGCAATTAGGTGGGAAAAACTGTGTGCAATCAGCCAAAATGAGAAAATATGCAAAGAAAATTCTGTGAAACTGTTTTGTCCATCTCCACACTGCAGCTCCCCAACAAACGTAACTAATAATTACATTGACTTTCTATCCAAAATCTAATAATTATGATTAAAACCTCCCTCCACCTCAGTGTCTGACTGAAGATTAGGCTCTTGATCACATGTAACTTGGGATTCCTGTTTTACTTCACTTCTTGTGGATTCATTTCTGTGTTGATGTGAATGATGTTTGTGTGAGTTCATGAAAAAAGACAAAACAAACGTCTAAGATTTGGCTCCGGTGCAAAGCTTTTCTTCTACGTTTGCACAGTGAGAGCAGTAATGTCTGTTAATGTAATAAAGAGACATTACTGCTCTTTACTGCTTTCTATAACTTGAACTAACCTTTAGCTTCCGCAGCTTCAGCCATCAGTCTGTTGTGTTTATTGTAGGCCTGCAGCATCAGTTTTCTCTTGTCCTGATAGAAAATATTCAAGTTAAATCAGGGAAAACTGCTTTCTTTTTTTTTTGTTTTGTTTTACCAAAGCAAACGTTCTCACTTTCACGTCGGTGGAGGGGTCTATCATGGCTTTGCACCAGTCCACAGCCTCTTGGGTGCAGGGTCGCATCGTCTCCGTCCGGCCGTGGTAGAACTTTCGCGTCATGGCCGTCTCATAGCAGCTTCCCGGCCTGAGAGAGAAAAGGAAAGATTCAGGACCACTCACATCAGCTTCGTGTATCAACAGCAACACTTTAAGCATTTGTACAACTGTGTTTTAACCAGTGAATACTTTTTGTGTATTTTGTAGTAGGACAACTGCATCGCCAGCTGAATGAAGGTGTCCGGATGCAGCTTCCTCTGTTTGATCGCTGCTTTTCCAAACGCCGTGAAGGCGTAACACGCAATCTGCAGGTCCTGAGTCTGGAAATAGAGACGAGAGAGTTGAGAGTGCAATTATCAAGAGAATATGAAATATCTCAAAAAATATGTGAATTCACCTTGTTTCCATTAACTGCCTCTGAGCAAATAAACAAGGCTATGTAGTGTTGTTAGAACAATTTTTTATTTTTATTTTGAGTGTGTCACATTATCAGAACCACGACACTATGTAGTTTGCCAGAATGAGATTTAGCCTGACCCAATGCACAGGTGGTTAAATACCAAAAATAGCCAGATGTCCTAATATGAGGTGCGTCAGAAAGGTTCCAGGACTGGTGTCACAAAAGATATGTTTCAAATCCAAACTACAAACTAGGAGTTTTCCCCTTCAGATGATCAACCAGCATGTCTACAAAGAGATCCTGTGGCGTTTGCTTCGTTTAGAGTTGTGGCAGGACGAGTCGTGGCTGCTTCACCATGACAACGCGCCTGCTCACGATGTCCTGAGCATCCGACAGTTCCTGGCTGAGAAGAACGTCGTCATGCTGGAGCAACCTCCCTCCTCACCCCACCTGGCTCCGTGGGATTTGTTCCTCCTCCCTAAGCTCAAGGGGGTCATCAAGGGGACCCGTTTAGAAGACGTTGACGACATCAAGATGGCTGTGACGACAGAGCTGAGGAGGAACCTGGAAGAATCCTTCCAGGAGTGCATGGCGGCGTGAAGAGGAGGCTGGGGAAGTGAGTTAGACTCCAGGGGGATTACTTGTAGTTTGGATTTGAAATCTATCTTTTGTGACAGTGAAACTTTTCTGACACACCTTGTACATTGAGTCTCATTTTGCAGCATACTTTTCTAACCATTCTGATCCACAATTCTCTGCACTGTTACGGTGTCTCAAGTGGGTATAAACAAGCTTTAGAGCGCATAGGCAAATGACAGCATACTTCACACTACAGTTGAGGTTTGAAGTGCCTTCCAACTTTACGCATAGTGCATGAAACAGTACGGACTTTAAGCAAAAGTCAAAGAATTTGGACCACTGGCCTTTTTGTACCACAGCTGCCCCAATAACTGCATACCACTGAGACATACTACTTTATCACAATATCGCACCTTAAACTTCGACTTTCTTGCTCATATATGCATCTCAGTTGGCATAAAAGACACCGTGACGATTGTGACTTATGTTATGCATGTTACGCGGCACAAAGGATTGTGGATCAGAATGGCCAGAAAGTCGTGCTGGCCTGCAAACTGCAAAACTGAGACCGGATGTAGCAGAACAGTTTGGTATGTTTGACGTGCTGCATGTGGCTTATTACATACTGAGACATTCTACAATATGTTGGTCTATTGGAGCGTACCCTAAGTGTCTGCTTCTAGCTACAAAAGTCAAAAAGAAAACAAAAAAAACCCAAAACCATAAAGTTGTCAATTTTTCAAGAGAAAAATCAAAAGAAGTCAGGAATTGTTTTCAATCAGGAAAGTTAGAATTATTGTTTGATGTCAGCTGGTTTCAGACACGAAAACATAAAATCAGTCATGTTGAGTTAAATATTCACTACTATCACACCTTATTCAGATTTGGTGTTTCCATCCTCTGTGAAGTGCATTAACTCCTTTTTAAAATATAAAATAACCAACTTAAAAAGAGCATTGCTTTTTTGTGAAATTGGCAAAGTATTTTCAAATTTTTCAGGTTGCGTTCTCTTTTTTTTTCTCATGCAACATTTCAAAATGTGCATAAAAACATGGAATGAAACACGTCCAGTTGCACAGCTGTGACTGTGTAAGTGTAATTTTTCCATCAGGCTTTTTGTAGTCGTTTAACTCACCGACTTCATGTACTGCTGCTTGGCCTGGTGAATGTAACTGCTGATGGTTTCATCCACAGTAAACACCAGCTCCTCAGGAAGCGGCATTGATCTGATGGCATCCGATCCCTGAAAAACAGTGACATCAGCGTGTGGAATGTGGAAAGAAGCATCAGCAGCAATTTCAGTTTACGTACAGAATCAAGTAAGTGTCAGCGTTTACCTTCCATTTGCCTTCTGTAGCTTTGAGCTGCTGGTCGATGTACCAGCACATGGACACCAGCACCATGGCGTCATATGGGGAATGCTGCAACGACAATCTGGAGTTTTAGTCTTTTTGTTTTTTTTTACTGCAGGACTCTGTTTTGAAACAGCTGAATTCTTTTGGACATAAGATTAGCGTGATGATGTTGACTCTCTAAACACATAGTTTCAACAAACCCCTCTAACAGGATAAACACATAAACTCACATCACAAGTGGATCCAAAAGTGCCGTCTGAGAACGAGATGGAGTTGTACGACTTGTCGCCCCAGCGGATGGTGGGGTTTCCTTTAAGGGCCTCCGCGGTCAGCTGCATTAAAAAAAAATATATATATATATATATATAACAGTTTGCAAAATCAGACACACAAACTGTCTGGACCACAAACAGTTCAACTGCATTCAATCTGCTCACTGTTAGATTTACAGAGTCTGGAAATATTTACACCTTTTGCACCTTCTTCCTATATGAGCGTATATGTATTTATATACTGGACACGTTTACATGCAGCTGCACCTTGTATGTACTTTTTCACTATTTTAAGTCGTTACATTCCTGCGTATGTTTAGCAATGTGCAATATCAATAAGTTCTATCACTGTTTTCACTGATTACACTATTACATACTATTTAATTCATTCTACTGTATTTCTGATTTGCACATTTCTTCCTGTACTTTTGAAAAATGTCCGACTGCTGCTTAACTTCGTAGGACCTTGTGCAATTCCACTCTATTCTACGACTCTTCTGTCGTGGCCAGAACACAACATAAACGTTGATCCATTGGGCGATCAATAATTCAGATCTAAGCAGCTCATACGTTTGTGTAGTTGTCTGGAGTCGGGTAGGGTTTTGTCTCATCCAGAGAAATGATGAAGAGGCTGCTCTGAATAGTCTCCAGGATGGTCTCATTGTGTGGGTCGATGTTTATTAGATGTTCTCTGGCCTGTAGGGAGAGTAAACGAAGAACACGCTGATACTGAGATGTGCTTTTTGTTGTTTTTTTTTAAAACATGCTGCATAATTTCATTTAAATCTTTCCAGTCTTCCCAGTGAGAGCCGCCCTACCTTCGCCCAGTGAGTCCTCTCCTCCGTGGTGAGAGCAGACACTCCGTCTCCTTCTGGTTCAGCCTCGCACCGCTCTTTCACGTAACTCAGCTGCCTACAGGAGTTAACAAACACACATGTCAAGCTTTGGTCACTTTCCTCTCTGCAGGGCAAACCAAATTAAATCTGACGCCTTCATAAGTGGCAGAGAATAAATGGATGGATGGATCAGGCGATGAGTGCTGACAGATGCCCACGGTGATGAGCTTCCTATTAGCTGTAGAAAGCAGGAGTGACAGTGTTTGCTACTGATCTGATGGAAATAAAAGCTTGAACTGCCTCCTGCAGCACCAGAAACCGTTCTACTTTTAGTTCATGTGGTATAATATCTCCTGCAATCAGATACGAAAGCATCATGTAACAAACATTCGTGCCTAAAGCAGGCAAGAGAAACATAAATAATATATTACCATCTGAAACCCAAAACCCACTGTAGGGTTTGAAAGGCATGGTATTTTTTTTTTAAACAGCCAAAATCAAATCATTTATCAGAGCCAGAAACTGTAAAAACAGAGAGGATTATCAGATTTTCAACTCTCCCTGCAGTAACCACATGTAAAGTGTAGTTCAGTCAGACAAATTACCCAAACCTAAGCCTAAAACCGTAATACTTCATCAAAATAACTCATTCTACTTGCCTCACTTAACAATACGCAAAAAATAAACAGTTTGCACCAGATTCTGCAAAAAAACTAAATACTCTGTGCTACTTGGTGAAACTGAGTAGCCATAATTACTCAGCTGTGACCAACAGTCAAGGGCGTTTCAGGGGAACTGCAGCAGTGTTTATTCAGAGAATAGACGAAACAACAAGAGAGATAAAAAATAAAACAAACTGGAATTAACAAAATAAATACAGCGTGGCTCAAAAACAGTTTCAAGAGGAGCAAGTTGTTGGAAGATATATTCCGCATGGTGAAATGTCTTTCTACTACTTTTAGAGGCTGTAAAAATGTAAACATTTAAACATCTATAGTATGTAGAGCCAACGCATTTCACCGGTGAGCACTTGGAAAAATCTTGAACAAGTTGATTTCAGTTTTTTGTTGTTTTTTTTTTTTAAATAAATGATCGAAGAAGTTCAACTTTTGTGGATTGTTTTTTATGATTTATGGCACTCTAACTGTGTCATACTGCACAGAAGACATTTCTGAGCTCTCTGTCCTTCTATTCATTGTTGTGCTGTTTCCATAGTGGTAAAGGACTTTATAGTGTAGTGAAAAATAAGCCCACAGTGAGGAGAAATGTGCAAAAAATTAAAAAAAAAAAAAAAAAACAGAAATTGCTTGGGGACCAGGGGATTCAAATATTTCTTCCAACTTCATATCACTTCCTTAAATCTCTCTCTTTTTCTCAGCTTTGCAAAAAAGCTTTGCTACTTTGGGCTACTTAGAGGAAACACTTTAAATCTATCAAACTGAGCAGGAAGACATATAATATTTTTCCTTGTTTTAATAAAAAAAAATTGACCAGCTGCTGAACCCCTATTGGATACCAGGTTTCACATCAGGTTTTATTCTCAAGTCGTTTCTGTATTGGTGTGTACTAAATACCTGAGAAGTTCTGGAGGGGTGAGGATTTCTCCGTCACAAAGTGCATCAAACGTGAAGAGCCGTCCCCGACACATCACCACCACGTGGGAGGGACACGGACCCTCGCTCTCTGTGACACGGCACAAAAAGACACGTTACACAACAGTGACGTGAAGGTGGGTCAAAGTGCTGCAGGCGTATGTGAAGGTTACAGATAAGAGCACAGTTAGTCCCACCTGTCTTGAAGTAGTTACGAATGGTGTCCTTCTTCACTCCAGGAACTTTGCAGGTGCAGAAGAGCATTCTGAACTGGTCCATGTCTAACGCAGTTTTGCCAGCTTTCTGGGGCTCCAACCGCTCCCTAAAAGATGCAAAGAAGAGAAAAACATTACAAATGTACAGTTGTTAACAAAGGTTTACATCCATTTGTAAAGACCATGTATATCATGGCAGGTTTGAGTTTCCAACGACTCCTATAACTCTGAATTTTCTAGGATTGAATCATTAAAACATGAATCTTTGTCACAAAAAAACTAATATGATATCGAAAGTTGTGTTGATCAAATTTTCTTTTGACATTTTAAGTTCTTGTGACCAATTAGGGTTGACTACAGCTGCTGACTCCTCTGAGCCGATGTAAATAAATAAATACACTCATTGGACTCAGCTACAAACACTGCAGCGGGAAAGTCAGAGGAGCTCTTCACAGATCTGAAAAACCGAGTCATTGACTTGAACAAGTCAAAAAAGTCGCTTGGAGGCATTTTGCAGGAGCTACAGATTTCGAAGTCATCTGTGCAAACAATCTTAAAGCTTTACTGTTTGCTGCCAATGACATGGACAAAGTGAAGGCCTTCTAAAGGAAAGTTCTTCTTATTGTCAAGCATGGTGGTGGCAGTGTCATGCTCTGGGACTGTGTTGCTGCCAGCGGAAGTGGTACTTTACAAAGAATAAATAGTATAATGTAGTAGGAGGGCCGGTAAGTGACTCAGTGGTTAGCACTGTCTCCTCGCAGCAAGAAGATCACCGGTTCGTGTTCCGGTTAGGACGCCTGGGATCTTTCTGCGTGGAGTTTTCACATCAAAAGTGGTAAAGTAATGGCTAAGTCAGGCTAGCAATAAGGTTTTAGATCTTATTTTCAAACTTGGCCTCCCCAAAGTCCTGACTTAAACAAAATCAAGAACCTGTGGACGGTGCTGAAGAAAATCTTTGTCAGAAAGCCGACAAATTTAGTATAACTGCACCAGTTCTATTAAGAGGAGGGTCAAAGATGGAACCAGAAGCTTGTGGACGGAAACAAAAAGCACCTGGTTGAGGTCAAAATGGCCAAAGGACACATCACTAAATATTAGAATGGCTGTATGTATATTTTTGACCCAGAAAAATCCTCTGTAGGGTTGGAGTCTACCCCAGCTGACTTATTGTGAAGGCAGGTTGTTATATTTCCAGAAAACCTATAATAAATCTAAGAACCAGAATGCATGGTGGGTTTTTTTCGTAACTTAAATTCATGATATACATGGTCTTTACGTGCATATGTAAACTTTTGTTCATATAAAAATCAGAGCAAACTGTGCTAAACACACCACAAAAACCCAGCTTGTAAAAATGCGCGTGATCTTGTCTTACGTGCGGATCAGGTTCCAGTACTGCAGCGTGTGCCATATGCTAACACTGGCTCTCTGCATGGCAGTTCCCTCTGCGGGTGGCCAGCAGTGCTCCAGGTAAGGTGCCGGGCCGGCGAAGTTCATAGTCACCTGGGAGGGGCTTCGGGACTCCAGGTACGCCGTGTCGAGCCACCATTCTTCCAGCTGGAGATGAGAAAAACAGCAAGTCGAGCAAAAACAAAACAAATGGCTTAAGAGGAGGACACATTAAAGACCAAAACGAGGCTTTCACAGCTCAGCTACACACCCAGTTTCTCTTTGTCTTGGCTCTTTGCAGCAGCTTTTGGTGCAGCTCTTTGCCGACACCCTCTTGGAATTTCCTCACAATGTCCGCAGTAGCTTTAAACTCCTTCTCAGATGCAAACGGACGAACTGGAGCACAATGAATACATAATATTTCATTCAGCTTGCATGAATTTATTAAAACACTTGCCTACTCATTCAAGGGGTTTTCTTGTAATTTTCACAATTTTCCACATTGTAGAACAAAGCTGAAGACGTCAAACATACAAAATAACATGGAATTCTGTAGAGGCAAATACTTTTTTAAAAAAGCCTGAACCAGAGCCACAGCCTACCTGAATCCAGGTATTTAGAGAGGCTGCTCTCTAGCGACGGGACAGGCAGCGGCGGCAGACTGCTTTGGTACTGAAATGTGCGCTCAGGCAGAGACTCCGACAAATGGTTCGCCATTTCTACTCCCTGTGAAAAAAATATAAATGGAATAAATAAATGTGATAGGAAAGTGAGGCTTAGCTTGATTTTTATCACTGATATAACAAAGACTTCTCCTCTTGTTCTTGTAATAAATCAAATGCTTCACAATTTGTCATTTGTATATTAAAAAAAATGAAAACACATTGATCTAATGCAGCTGGTCTCGCTACATTTTTTTTAATACATTATATTCATATATTATACTGTGTTATTGTGGTGAACAATGATGCTGTGAAAAATCCATAAAAATCCTATGATAGGTTGAACATTGGTGCAACAGAAAGTGTTTTGCTTTGAACAGACAATGATGGGTATTTTGTCTTGCATAACATAAATAATCATAAAGACTCCAAATATTTTTCCTTTTTTTTTTTTTTAGAAACCACATACAGTTCTACTATGTACATTTAAACATATGTATAAGTATATATTTTGTGAATTTGTTTTGAAATTGCCCGTAATCATGAACGGCAACATATATAAATAACATATAGGAAAAGAAAATTGAATTATCCATTTTGCAGAGGATGAGATTTTTACAGATCTTACATTTTAACTGACAAATTTACAGAACTGGATAATCTATTTATAATTCAAATCCTTCAAGATACATTTACTGTACAGCAATTCAAACATGACAGCTGTTTTTAATTATTATTTTACACCCTTGTAATACCTTTTGGTTTTGGACTTCTGGTTGAACAACACAACATTCGCATTTATGACCATTTTCTAACATTTTTATGGGCGTTAACAGTTTAATTAAAAAAAGAAAATGACTGTTAGTTGTAGCTCAAAATGTAATCATAATCATGCAGTTGTAGCAGACCATTGATGTCCACGATACACAGTAGAGCTGCAACAAATAACTGATTAGTTGTCAATTAATGAATCAATCGTCAATCATTTTAATAAACCACTCGGGATTTTTTATTTTTGGGGCGGAAAAAAATCTAAAATAAAACAGTCACAAGACTTAAGGGTTCGATATCACAACATCTGCCCCGACGGATGAGGAACGATGAGCTTAATGTGTCACATATTGAGCCAGTATGAGCGAAGTCCTCAAAACGCTGTGAATAACAGAAACTTTAACTTGTGATGCAATAAAAAAAAAAAACCTCCACAGCGGCGACTAATGAACTTTGTGACTGTTTAAGTTTACTCTGGAGCTGCTTTAAGGTCAAGAATGAGTCTCAGCTTTCACCCAGATTCTGTTTTCCTGCTGCTGTTAAAACTCTGTGTACACTCTGGGTTAAATACGGTAAAGAGAAATACGGCAGGAACACACTGTTTAGTTACTGACTGTGCACTAAAGCTGCAAAGATTAACTGTTGGAGCCAAAAATTGATCGACTGACTAATCAAGAAACACTTTAATCAATAGTGAGAATAATCGTTAGTTGCAGCCCATATGTTTGTATAGATATTTTTCTATTTAATCCCATATTGAGATGTTAGATATGCAATTAATTTTTTAGTATACTGAATATATTGAAGTCATTTTGCACACTGTACATTTCCTTATATTATATTTTTTCCACCCTGCATATTCTCGACTTTATATTTTGCAATGTACATATTACAAACATTTGTAGTACTTCAAATAAATCTAAATTCTCTGATTGCAGCTTCTTAAATTTTAATATTTTCTGGGTTCCTTACTCCTCCCTGACATTTTACAGACCAAGTAACTAATCGAATGACCAAGAGAAGCATCCACACATTAACTGAAAGTGAGAATAATCATTAGTTGCAGCCCATACTTCATATAAACAGTTTTCCATTTAATGTTTATTTGAGGTTTTAGATATCCATGTAGTTTTTTGGCACACTGAAGTAATCACTTTTTTTTTTTTCTTTCTTTTTTTTTTTTACATTATTCTTTTATTGTTTACATCTCTTCACTCTGCATATTCTGCATCTTACAGACATTTTTATTACCTCAAATAAATCTAAATTCTCTGACTGCAGCTTCTTTAATAGAAACAGTTTCTGGTCTTACTCCTCCCTGACAGTACACCACCCTCTAACATTTTACAGACCAAACAACATATTGATTAATCAAGAAAAACATCGACACAGTAATCAATAGGGAGAATAATCGGTAGCTGCAGCAGATATTTTTCTATTTAAAGTCATACTGAGACTTCTGCATATTCTGTGCTGAATACTTTGAAAAATGTCTAAGTCCTTTAGTACATCTTTAACGGGTTGTGTCCAGATATGCAAGTCTTTTTTTCCTATTCTTTGCCCCTTTGCATATCCTCTACTGTACATTCTGCATAATACAGACTAAAACATTTGAACGAGCTCTTCAGTGCGTTTCTGTGATTGTAGCTACTCCAAGCATACAGCTTATAATTAACTCCTTTAACGACGACAAAACTTGATGACTGTTGCTAATACGACTTGTTTACCAATTTAACAGAAACAGATAGCACTAAACTGCTTCAGTCTGATGTCGTTAAACAGTTTTTTGATTATTTAAAGCAGTTTTTTTTTTAGTGAACGTTGCTAACATTAGCTTCGGCTAACGACCACAACAACAGTTTGACATGTAGCCTGCTAGCTCCGTTTAACTTCACTTCTAAACTTCTCCTGTTAGCTCCTGTTAGCTCACCTGCTCTGGGAAACGTTGACGGTAGCTCACTGCATCCACGGACAGCGGAAACGCGGAGAGTTCGGCTCCTTTCACCGGCTCGGTCGGCGTGTTTTTGTCCACAGCAGCTCCTCACCTTTACCCCACTGAACCCAGACGACCGTACAGCCGCACTGCGCATGCGCCGACCGCTGACCTACATTCTATCTGTGAAATAAATAAATAAATAAATAAATAAATAAATAAACGAATGAAGCAATTGATGGTGAGTTTGGGCTGCAGGTAGGTGGCAGGTGGATTAATTTATCACAAACGTAAGACCAAGAAGAAAAAATGCAAGTGAAAACTGTACTGTGGGGGATTTATGCAGAAAAAGTCAAATATTAGAGTAGATAAATAGAGCAGGAGGTCAGTGACACAGGTCACCCTATCTCAACTGCTAAATGATTATTGTGGATAGAGTGAACCTTAAAATACCCATGCCAAATGTTGATTTACAGGGATTTTTTTAAATTTGACTGATATGATTCTTCTAGCAGGAAATGATATAAACAAATAACAGAAGACTGTAAGATAATAGATTTAAGACTGTTTTAGTAGTCCCATGCTCATACAGTGTGTGCACTGAAATGCAAAGTGATTGATCACAAGGCTGTGACAGAACAAGAAGACATTATAAAGGACAAATCTTTAAAAACAAACAAAAAGAGAAAAAAAAACATTTGAAAATTAGAAAAAAAGGTTACAATGGCATAAATAATGAAGCAGATTTTCAACTAAAGTGCAGTGTACATTGTGTAACGGTGCATGTATGTGCTGTTATGCTTCTTATGCATCAGAGCGTGGGTGCATGTGTGTGCACAGGCCCACATGTTTTTTAAACATTTGCATTAGTACAGTGTGCTGTAGTACAAATGAGATGCTATTTTTTTAGATTTTGTGATCACAGTTCACAGAGCTCAACGATGGCTCAGTGGTTAGCACCATCGCCTCGCAGCTAGAAGATCCCAGTTAGGACGCCTGGGATCTTTCTGCATGGAGTTTACATGTTCTCTTCGTGCAGCGTGGGTTCTCTCCGGGTTCTCCGGCTTCCTCCCACAGTCCAAAAACATGTTGAGGTTAATTGGTGATTCTAAATTGTCTGTAGGTGTGAATGTGAGTGTGCTTGGTTGTCTGTCCAGGGTGACCAGGACAGGTCTCCCTGCCCTGGCAGCTGACTCTGCCTTTGCCTGAGTCAGCTGGGATAGGCTCCAGCACCCCGTGACCCCAGTGAGGATAAAGCGGTGTATAGATAATGTATGGCTGGATCAGAGTTCACAGTCCTGACTCTATGTTTGCTTTGATGTTTCTCAGGCGCCTGCCAGATCAAAACCAATCAAACAGTCCATTTAACTGCAACAATGGACATGTGAATTGATGATGAATTTGAAACATTTCTTCATTGTTTTTTTTTCTTCTTACATTTTTATCAACAATATAATGTCCAAAAATATTCATATTGTCACCATTTTAAAGAAGATGCAGCTTCTACACCATTTTAAGTGGTCTTAATCATTTCCACCATGTTCTAGGGCGTTCTAATGCCCTATCAAGTGAGAACAGCTGATGCAGTAGTTCTGTATTTGGTTCCAAAGAGCTGCTGTTAGGGTCCATCAGTGATAGAGAGCTGCACATTGTGGCCGCTCACAAGACGTTTAAAGGCTATAAAGTCATATCCGAGTTGTAAACTAAACAAACTACACAGGGTTTGGTTTGGAAGCTGGCCCGCAGTCTACAGCAGACAGTAAAGCCCTAAAGTATTCATCCACATGCCAAATTTGGAGTTAAAGAGAATTTTTATTGCCCCATAGGTTTTTTCTGGCTGGAAATTACATAAATGAGTAATAAAAGAAAGCAAAACACTGCGTTACTGATGGTAATGGTGAATTTTAACAATTTCTTTTATTTAAAATATCATGTCCAATGTTATTTATCTCTCAAAATTTAAATTGTCTGATTTTTATTTTTTAGAGACAATACATTTTCACACCATTCCAGATGATCCTGCTGCTTTCTTCCAGGTACCAGGATCGATGCCTTATATTGTAAAAGCAGCTGATGAGAGAAATCTGTCATTATTTATGAGGTGACTGCATTATTAATAGGCTGCTTGTAGCACTAATAATGTATGTGCACACCCATATAATTATATTTTGGTGCGCTTTGGGTCTGATTTTCATGCTTTTGACTGCAGTTTAAACCAGTTTATGAGAAATTCTAAAGGGCACATTGCCCTTATTTTAAGTCTGTCTTTAAAACAAACTCTATTGTTCCTGAAGCTGCCATCTTTCCTTCTGCAGATACGTACCATTAACAGGTAAAGTTATGCAACACTCCAGTAATGTTTTCATTTCATCATAAAAGTACAATATTCTGCAAAGACGTTCTAAAAATGTTTTGTGAAAACATCGTTGGCTCAGTTTTTTGAATGTTGCATTGAAAATCTCCTTCTTTTGTTGTCATTGTAGGAATGTTTAATAGAACATTCAGTAATCTGTTACCTAAAAAGAATCCCCAGAATGTTTCAGGCTGTTTTGTTTCTGTTAATGTGTCACATTACAGCAACACTACGTAAAAGTCATCTGAGGCTCCGAAAACATCTTCAAGACATTTTTTTGTTTCGTGAATGTTGTATCTTTGTTGTCATGTCATCATCTGCAGACCCACAAACTTCTATCAAACATCATCTTAAAGCAGCAGCTAAAATGTTACATCAGAGCTCATTTATAACCTCAAAGGAAGATTTGCATTTATAAATATCCCTAAAAACGCAATTAAGAGTCAGTATCTCAATAACAAAGAAGCACGAGCTACACAACACAGTGCAGAAAGAAGTTTAATTTTTCAAAAGCATCACATTTGACTTCATTTAGTTTGTCTTGCTTTGATTCAAGCTACAAATCAAAGTGCAGTTTATATTAAATTAGCTGTTAAAAGTTCATATTTTCAAACTTAAAGAATGCATAGAAGTGGCTCAAGAGCGTCAATTCATCAGACTAGGTAAAAATATCACATCAAGGAAAGAAGATTCACATTATTCTGCATAAGTACGGCCTCTGGAAGCAGAAGGCTGCCTGTTATAAAAGCAGCAGCTTTATGTTAGTAACTGAATTAGTTGTCTGGAGTCATTTTTATTGCATTAATTCTGCATCCTCAGCTTATTGCAACTCTTACATCCCATATTTGCTGATAACATCCGTAGCGAGCGTAACGTAGGCCGACATGGCGTCATCGTTGGACATTCCTGGAAGAGAACGGACAGAGAAATGATTAAAAACAATGTTTGCTGCTTTAGCTGTGCAGGCAGCATTGTGTTGGTGTGATGGTTGTAACACAGCTTCTGTCCGGATTAAAATATCACAACAGCTGTTGAATGGGAACAAATTACACATAGATCTGATCACGACTTCTTTACAGACAAATTGGGTCTAGTTTTTTTTGTACTTCATGTAATATTCCACCATTCACTGGATAGACTGCCTTAAAATTTAGTACAGACATCAACAGTCAACGTCAGGACATAAAACACCTGCCTTGGTGAACCTCCGATGTTTCCTCTAGTGGTTTAATAAAAGCAAAATTTCAATTTGTCCAATACTTTAGTGTACAAATCTGCATACCAATAGCATTATAGCTGCTTTCAAACATGCACCCCTTTCCAATCATCTGGCGACATCTGAACTTGTTGGCTTCATGTCCCTGACTTTTCTGTAAAAGACACAATCTTACAAGGTCGAACCTCGTAACACGAGTCTGAACAGCAGCCTTTAACAGACAGAGACGAACTCTGAGTTGTGTGAGGTGATCTCAGGTTGGACTTTTTCACATTTAGGACCAACATTTTTCCAAAAGCATCAAAGAAGACAAAGTTTGCTGCCAAAAATCACAAAACACGTCACTTGTTCTCTTTTCTCTGCAATTTGACATCTTTAGAAACTGAAATGTCCATAAGAATAAAACTTTACTGCAATAAAAACAGATTCCCACGAATGGGACGCCACAAAAATAAACTTAATCCAGTTTTGACTGAAGTTTAGTTTGTTTCTTCCAGCTGTTTAGAAGTCTTTCCTCTGAGTTTTTTTTTTTTTTTTAAATATGTGCAGCATCAGACAGCAGCCAATTAATTAAGAGAAAGTCAACTTAATTAATTACTTAGAATTCTAACTGATCCCTGCCATGGAGACAGGATGGATCAGGATCTGTACTTCACCTTCACTGCCACGATTACAACATTCATCGGAGACATCCATCCATCCGTTATCAATATAAATAAAATGCAAAGTTTGTAAAAATGTCCATCCATTCATTATCTATACACCACTTAATCCTCACTAGGGTCGCGGGGGGCTGGAGTCTATCCCAGCTGACTCAAGGTGAAAGCAGGGGACACCCTGGACAGGTCACCAGTCTATCACAGGGCTACACTTAGAGACAGACAACCAAGCACACTCACATTCACACCTACGGACAATTTAGAATCACCAATTAACCTCAACATGTTTTTGGACTGTGGGAGGAAGCCGGAGAACCCGGAGAGAACCCACGCTGCACGGGGAGAACATGCAAACTCCATGCAGAACGATCCCAGGTGTCCTCACCGGGATGTGAACCGGCGACCTTCTTGCTGCGAGGCAACAGTGCTGATCAAAATTTAAACTTTCACACTGTCCTTGAACTAGCTATGTGGTACATACACTTCCATCTGGAAAATTAGTCAAAGCCAAGATTAATAATAAACGTTTGGCAGCAACTAGATTCTGTACAAAAACAAAAATTTTGAGCTCCTTGGTGCAACTTTGAAGCCACGAATGACTCAGCTGCAGCCAACAGTAATATAATGAATATTCTGTGGCTTTTTGGCTGAACTGCAGGCAGCGCTGACACAGAGCAGAGAGGAGTCGATTACGGAAACAGCTTACAAATACAAGTAGTAAAACATCTATAGAATGCAGAGTCACAATGTGCACTTGAAAAAAAAAAAAAGGAAAAAATGTTGGACATGTTGATTGCAGGTTTTTTCAGTCTTTGCAAAATACATAATCAAAGAAATTCAGCTTTGGTTTTGTATGAATCTATGATTTGTGGCATTAAAACGGTGTCATGCTGCACAGAAGACATTTCTGAGTTCTCTCTCCTTCTTCCTGGTGATTGTGTTTCCACTGAGGTGCAGGACTTTATATTAAAGTGACGAATGAGCCCACAGTGAGTAAAACTGTGTGACAGAAACTGCAGTTCAGAGGGCTACTCAGCAAATGTTGGCATGGATGATGAACATTGTATAAATGTTGTTAACTTGAGCTCAGTGAGGAATGCTGGTGTCCTTGTTCACTCAGTAACAAAGCTGATATAAAGTAAAACCTTCCACATTGCTAACTTGCTACCTTTCCTGGTCTCCCAGGCATCCCACTTGGCTTTTCCTTTGGGGTCCAGAACTCCCGGTCGATCTGCAGACACAGAAAAACAAAAAACATGACGAATCTATAGTGAAATCTGCATAGAAGTGATTGTTCACCTGCAGAAAATCATACCAGTGTTGATGTCCCCGACGATCGCCTGCTTGTAAAGGCCGTACAGCTCCAGCAGCTCCTCGTTCGTCGGCCTCGTCTTCACCTTCTTCACATCTTCGGCTGCTTTCTCAAAATCTGCCTTCAGGTTGACACATTAGGAAGCATCACATTCGGTTTAGAAAGCAGCAGTTTAGAGGCTTTTCTTCTCTGTGGTGCAGCAGGAATGTATAGTAATTACATCATCTGAGAATGTGCATGTTAATTAGTCACACTGAATAGGAAATCTAGTATTCTGGGCATGAGGGCAAAGCCTGGGAAACCGATTGGTGCACAAGTTGGACATAAACAAAGAGCTTTTATTCCAGACTCTTTTCTGCCCACTTGAATAATCTGCTTTACAAAGGATCTGGGACATTGCAGGACAGATCATTACAGGCTGCAGTTTTAAGGACAGATGTAAAGCCACTGAGATCTCTGTGCATTAAATCCTGAAAATATATTTTTAATACTGCAAAGAAAAAAAAATCACCTCAAAACCTTAAGTCAAGTTTTTTTTCCCATCTTCACAGTTCAGTTGGAGTCTGATCTTGTTACTTTCACGACTGAATTATGGTGTTTTCGTTTTGAATAAAGCAGTAAATAAAGTGCAGCATCAGGACCATCGGGACAAACATGTTTATTCATCCTCCCTTCACACGCAGTCAAAGATGGATGACAGCCCACACAGGAGATGGCGTGAACACAGCAGCGACACATGATGCATTTTAATTGCACTTTACGTCCAAGCGATAAAGTGGAAGATTCTGAGTGATAGAAATGTAAATAAAGGCTTGCTCGTTACCTGCAGAGTCATGTTGGCGGATGCAGATGGACCCGTTTGTTCTCGAAGGTTTCTCGCAGCCGTAACTGTACCGCAGCTGATCGATGCAGGGCTGTGAGCCAATCAGAGAGCGGCAGAGGAGGGAGGAGGGCGCTGATTGGCTGCTGCCGCCGTCACTCACTGCGACGCAACATCATGCGGAAATAATGTGGAAGCTAGAATCAGAGAATTTAGTCAGTTTTAAATTTGAAAAAAAAAATCTATTAATTGATTAGCAAAACAGTCAATTTAATAAATGAGAACTAATTTATCATTTAATTTTGCTCCATTTGACACTTGTATTTTTATTTTGCTTATTTCTATCTATCTATCGATCTATCTATCTATCTATACACACATATTTATTTCTTGTGCATTTTTATTCTTTATTCTTATATTTCTTATTATTATGTTTCTGAAAAAGGTGCTAAACACATTCCACTGCGCATGATACTGTGTATAATTGTGTTTGTGACAGTAAAAAGGTCTTGAATCTTGAATCTAACTATTACTCGCAGGTTAACATAAATTTGCGAATGATTTTCTTGATTAATCAATTCCTTTATTTTGTCAACAAAATGGCAGAAGATGATTTAATGTCACGGAGGATGAAAGAAAACAAAAATATTCACAATTAGCAAGCTCTAGTATAACATTTTGGTGTTTGAAAATCAAAAAATAATATTAGAAAGAGATGTTTTTGTTACTCATTTTTAGAGAACCACTTAATAACACCAGGACTAAGTCTCAGTTTACATTGGGCTATTTATTTTATTTATATTTTATTTCTATCTCATCTCACTCATAGTCGGAGATTATTTGATGTACTTGTCCAATATTGCAGATTTTGAATCAATGACATGATGAGAAATAAATGTTTATTGTTGAAACTAATAAAAAAACTGCTAAAAGTGGGAAACAGCCTCTTTTTTTTTTTTTTTTTTTTTTTTTAAAAAGTGTTATTTAGGAAAGTATTTGATCTTTCAAGGTCAAATTTCATAGATACCATTGTAAATATGTCAAGTGTATTATATATATATATAAAGTTTAAAGCAAATCAGAGCTGCTGGAGCAGAAGGAACCTGATGATTTGAAATGGAATAATTATTTGTTCCTTTATTAGATAAATAAAAGACATTTTCTCGAATTTCATGTTTGAATTAAGTTAAAAGACATATTTATATTTTAACAGTTAAACTCATATTTAGATACAGTCGTCTTCAAATGTATTCATCCCTTTCCATTAAAGAAAAGGCAAAATTCACAACAGTCAGTCAAATAACTAGAAACTGAACAAAGTAATAAGAAATTAAAATTTGCTAAACTATAATTTAGTGATGTAAGACATTGCTTTTGAATTGCGGTTTAAAAGAATAATTTTTAAAAAACAAAAAAACTGTGCCGGACAAATTAGAGCACTTTGCTGATGAGCAGTGGGTCAGAATACCTGTCAACAGGTGCAGAAGTCTGATTGAGAGTTGCAGAAAACACTTGAATGCAGTGATTGGCTCAAAGGGTTGTTCAACAAAATATTAGTTTACGGGTCCCATAATGCTTGTTTTTTGTTTGTTTATTTGTTTGTTTTTAAGATTTCTGTTGAGCCACAATTCAAAACCAATGTCATTTTGTTCAGTGAATTTTTATTTATTATTATATTTGTCAGTTTCAACTTATTTTAGTGACAGCTGTTTTTTTTTCCTTCTTTAATGGGAGAGTATAAATACATTTAAGGACGACTGCATTTTCCCGGACAGCACCGTGTGAGTGTAGTTCTTCCTCTTTAACGCTTGAGGGCGCTGTTCGCTTCTACAGACACAGCGTTTTCAATAAAGTTTTTAAAATTCAAACAAGATGGCGGCGCCCTGCTCTCCTGCCGTGCTGCTGGACTAGACGCATGAAAGTTTGACAAAACAAAGAAAAGTGCTGCAGCTGTTTAAAAATCAGGTAAAATAAGACGACTCTTGTTTTGTTAAAACGACAATAAGCCTGCAGGTTTTAATTAAAGCTCAAAATCATCTGATTTTACCTTAATATTTGAGTTTGACAGCATGAGTCGATGTGGACATAAACACAAGCAGGAGAAAAGAGTTGAGTTTAAACGTCATGTTTGGGAACTCAGTTTTTTCAATCTGCTGGCTGTTTCTGAACCATCTCAAACTCATTTTTGCTTCGATTTCTTATCAGCTGGTAAACTGTGTTTCTTGAGAGAAGCACAGACCACAGGAAACGTTGTTAGTATAAACAAAAGAATCGAAACCCCTGAAATCTGTCTTTCATTGTTATGTTTGAAATTACTTTTTACCTCAATATAATCGCCAGAATGACCTTTTACTGTTCTATTCTAGCTTTATTTCACCTTACTTATTATATTTCAGGCAGGTATCGTACTTATATCTTATTGCCTTTCTACTCTGTAGGCACTGCGTTTCTTATGTTGTCTTTTGTTTCTTCTGAGCAACATCTGGCACAGTAATTAATAAAGTTTCGTCTTCAGTTAGAGCCTGATCCTGTTTGTTTTTCCTGCAACATGATGTTCTTTAGAGGATTCAGATGATAAATGTGTTTGTCACAAACATATTTTTGTCATTTCTACATTCTAATTACTTGTCAACTGTGTTTCATTAGTAACTTTTCTCTTGTTTTTTTTAACAATTCCTCTTGTATTGATTTAAAACAAGCCATGGCGACTCCAGGAAAACCCAGCAAGAAGGAACTGAGAAAGCAGACTCCAGCCAAGACGTCCTTTACGTCACCCTTCACCTCCAAGTGGAAGCTGCTTCCTCAAGACGACGTTCAGTTCATCCTGCAGACTGTGAAGGACAAGCTGAGCTCCACGGGCCTCGAGAAGAAGGAGGTGAAGGTGTTTCGGCCGTGGAGGAAAAAGAATGAGCAGAAACTGTCCACCACGACGGAGCCTGTTCCTCAGCCGAGCCGACAGGAGCCTGATGCCGCCGGGAACGGCTGGACGGACGTGGTGGCCCGGCGGCAGCTCGCCATCGGCATCAACGAGGTCACCAAGGCTCTGGAGAGGAACCAGCTCAGACTGCTGCTGGTGTGTAAATCCGTCAAACCCAACCACATGACGAACCACCTGATTGCTCTGAGCGCCAGCAGAGGCGTGCCGGCCTGCCAGCTGCCTCGGCTGAGCCAGAGCGTGTCGGAGCTGCTGGGCCTGAAGAGCGTCCTCGCCCTGGGCTTCAAACAGAGCGGCTCTACCGACAAGGAGGTGTTCGAGGACACCGTGGAGGCCATCAGACACAGAGTTCCTTCAGTGAAGGTCAGCTGGCTACAAGGTGAAGCATCCAGAGACACACCTGAGTGTTCTGGAGCTGCTGAAGCGAGAGGCCAGAAACGTAAACTGGAGAGCGGATCTGAGGAGCCTCCCTCCTGCTGCACGCTGCAGCCGCTCAAAGTGAAGAAAATAGTTGCTAATCCTGCAAAGAAAAGAAAAGTGAAGCCAAAGAAACGGAACGTGGAGTAGACAGAAGCTCTGCTGGAACATTCCTGGGTTTTCTTTTTAAAACTCTTGTGACACCTCAAGTAATTTTTCTTTCTCAGATTGTTTTATTTTAAGGATTTTTTAAGGCCCTGAAAGTGGAAAAACGATCTAAAATATAAAAAGTCTGAAGAAATAATCAGTTTTGGGGAACAGAAAGGTTTTGTTGAGGCCAAGGAGGATGAAGCTGGTGAGACGAGAGGCCAGAAATGTTCACTGGGGAGTGAATCCGAGGAGTTTCATTCCTCCGGCAGCCTCTCAGAGTGAAGAGAGGAGTTGCTAATCCTGCAAAGAAAAGAAAAGTGAAACCACAGAAACTGTCAAATGAAACAGAAGCTCTGCTGGACTATTCCTGTGTTTCTGCATGTTGTATCTCAGCGGTTTCCATTTAAACTGAGACTGCTTTTAATGCCTCGATTCACTTTTCTTCTCAGATTTTTTTACTTCAAAGGATTTTTGAAGTTTGAAGAAGTAGAACAAAAAGGTTTGGGGAATTAAAAGTTTTTGTTGAGTTCATTAAACGCAGAGTGCCTTCACTGGAGGTTACCTGGCTGCAAGGTGAAGCGTCCAGAGACACACCTGAAAATTCTGCTCACATTCATCAGGATGCTCTTGGTGCTGGTCCTTGGGTTCTTCTTGGCCTCCACCATTCTTCCAGTGCAGGGCTCACGTCTGTCCTCCTGCAGCCCTTTGACATGTTCCTCAGTGAGGAACTCCTTGGACTTCTTCATGAAGCTTCAAACTGTGAACACTGGAGCTTGAAAAGACTTGATATGACCTTAAACATCTTGTTTGCAGCAGCAATGTGCAACTGGAGCTCCTCAATAAGCTCTTGACTTGTAACTGACTAGAGAACTACTGCATCAGCGGTTTACAATTTATGTTGTATTAGAACGCTCTAGAACATGGTAGAAACTAGTAGGAGCATTTGAAGAGGCATAGAAATGACATTTTCCCAAATGTTTGCAATAATTTCAAAGGATATGTATAATTTTGGACACTTGATTGGGATTTCTCATTAGAAGAAATCTATGTGTCAACAAAACATTAAAAAAAAAACCTGAAAGTGGAATTTCTGCTCTATTTGGATCAGATGGGATTCTGTTGAAGTGCTCTGATTTCAATAGCTGTGCTTTTTCTACTATTTTGAGTCAGAATGTGTTCGGTACAATAAAACACCCACGCTGCCATAAAGACTCATCACTCGAGTTCCTTTTTAAAGTGAGTTTATTCAATCAAATATCCATGCTGGTATAGCTGACGTGTGTGTTGAAACAGATTGTTATTTGCATGGGGTCATGTCTAAATGATGCTGGTACAAGTTCTTCAGCTTTTTCACAGCTTACAATGGAGTTGAATAAAAATATTGTTCTTCAGTCAGAGAAAGCCGTATGACGTTTTTGAAAAGTACACCCCGCCGCTCTCCCCACCGCCGAGTCTTTTAGAAAAAAAAAAAAACAAAACAAAACAGAACAACATCTTTTAAATAAGGCAGGTAACTCCAGGTAAAGGGTGCGTCTAGTTTACATCGACACGGCAGCGAAACCGACTCATGCTCATTCAAACAGCTGCAGGCAACACATCTGGGACACGACAACATCCATGAGGCACACCGTCGACTCGTATTCAGTGTTTAATTAATGCCGTCCGTCTCTGAATGCAACACATTCGACCTTAAAAAAAGAAAAAGAAAAAAATCCTCGAGCCCTGAAGCTTTGACTGACCAATGTTTGTCCTTTTCTGGCTAGTTTATAAAGGGATGACAAGAAAATGACGTTAAATACCAAAAGACAAAGAAACAGAAGCAGCCTTTTACCTCTTAAGTTCTGCACATGAACAGAAACATCAAACATTAAATAACTCAGAGCAAAAAGACGATTCAAAACATTTTTCATAAAGAGCCTCGTTAGCCTCAAAGTTCAGTTCTGAAGTTGCCTATTTAACTGGAATTTTTTTCAGGGAAATACTCGGAAAGAAAAACAGAACAGATGCCTTCTTAAGACATTTTAAAAAGGTACAATTATAAACATCAGAACTGCATTTAGCTGCACAACACACTAAAAAAAAAATATGACCTATGTTGTAATTTTCTGACACACAAAATACAGTACCGTTACAAAATAAATCCGGAGATTAACAAAATTAACCTGGAAAACCGGAAAAACTTTGAGCTGATGCAGGCTTTTTGTTTTCCGAGCCGCTGCACCTGCTTTCATTGAATTATTCCTCAGGAGTGTTGTGCTCAATTCTCTTTAGTTTTATTTAACATCCGACTGCAGGCGAGCGGATGGATGTTCGCGTGTGTTCGCAGCCACTTTATAGCTTAAAGTCAAAGTTTCTCTGCGAGTGACGTGTGAGAAAAGAAAACCGCTGCTTTAGAAAACAACTGAGAATGTTTCAAAGCAAATCAGCCATTTTTACATTATAAAACTGTCTCTAGACAAACATTTTTGAGTTATTTTTTTGCACAAAATCCAAATGAAATTCACCTTTTCTTGCTGCTAGTGGTGGAATTCCACTGTCCTGCTCGTGCACTAAGAATCTCAGCCTCACATTGTTCAGTTATTTTTACTTTCTATTTTAACCGCTTTGCTGCCAACATGCACGAGTATCCGTGTCATGTACCTATAGTCGCTGTATTAAAAACAGCAGCTCTAGAAACAGCCTCATAAGGTGAAAACGCCGTCGTTCATCATGTACCAGTCCGTTTTGAACTCAGAAATTGTGCTTCATCAATGCAATACATTCGTCATTTAAAAACCGTTTAATCCCACGTTGAACAGTGACTTCTACTCTACTTATGAGGAAAATACTTTGGATTAGCCCTCCCGAACCCCCGAAAACTCACACTACAGGAATAAATATGATCTGGCTTTAAATGTACAGTTAACTATATATACTTTTTTTAAACAAAAAAACATGTCTGCGAAGATTCATTTTTTGTGTGTGTGTTTGCGTCTGCTTTTTTGTCATTTAAAAGTTCTGATATTTCAAAAACATGTGTTTGTTTAGGTGTCAGAAACACCTTCTTGCTCTTGTTTCTAATCTACTGAGGCCCAGAAACAGCCAGCAGAGACACTTGACCGACCACGATGATATGAAAAGGGAACGATAAGAAGAAGTGGAGCACGATAACTGAATGTCTGGACAGGAGAAGAAGGAAAAAAAAAATCTGTTTTGATTTGTATCTGGTCGCGTTTACTTGATTATCATTTACATAGATCCATGTCAGTGAAATGGAATGACATGCCGGTCCCTTGTGACAGCTGAGGAAGGAGAACGAAATTCACAATGTCAAGGCATCCTCTTGAATGTCAAACAGATGTGTGTGTGTGTGTATTTTTTAAGTGTGAGCGCGCGTGTCAGGAGCGTTGTTGTACTTGTTGTATGAGTATCTCAGGCATAGCATGACTTCACATTCAGGATGTTGATGATTTAAGAGTTTTCACCTCCGGGTGAACTGAGAAATGTTCTTGGTGACCTCCTCGCGGTCACCAGGTCGTCGTTGTTGTTGGTGTTTTTTTGTTTTTTTTTAACGGTTGTAGTTCTCATTGTCTAGCTCGGGCTACCTGTGCGTCCAGGTAAGAGTATCCAGAGGTCACCGACGACCTCTTGTGTTTGTGTAGCGGCCAAGGAGGGAGCTGCTACTGGAGGACGAGGCCGACCTGAAACACACAACAACCTGCTGTTACAACGCTTTTAAAAAGGAAGGCAAATAGTCTGACACACAAATGACATAAACTATCTGCCTAAGCAACAGTTTGCGTAAATGCTTGTGAGAATTTTTACACTGGGGTAAAAAAAAAAAAAAAGTCAAATAGGCCACATATTTGAGATTAGGGTGGCAAATACTAATTCTTTGCACAGTAAATTAGTATATAAAATGTAAGAAAACAGTGAAAAAAAACATCAATCAAAGCTCGAGATGACAAATATCTTGTTTTGTCCCAAAAATATTCTGTTTACTGTCATAGAGGAGAAACGAAACCAGAAAAAGATTCAAATTTAAGACGGTGCAATCAGAGAATTTGGATAGTCTAGTTCAAAAACGGACAAACAAAAACCATTTTTATCAAAATAGTTGGTTATTAATAGTAACAGTTGATAAGTAATCGATCAATTGTTGTAACTCTCGTATAAAATAATAATTTGTCTTTTTAAAAATGTTATTTATCTATACTATATGTAGATTCTTGTACTTCCGCTGCAACACATCCAATCAAAACAGTTTATCTCATCTCACTTTATCCTATATACATATATAACAACATAATGCTAAGCAAAAGTAATTAGTTCATTAATCACTAATGGAAAACTGCAAATCTGCAGTAATTTCAATGGTTAGTGGGTCACTCAAGTAATTTTATTAAGGCAAAAAGCACAAAAACAAATAGTTGCCACAACTTGCACGGTGTTTTCTGGGGTTCTGTAAGTCAGCCTTGGCTCTGTTGTTGTTTTGATTCAGGCTGCAGCTTCATCTTAACATTTCTTCCTCAAAAAATGTATTTAGCCAATTAGTAAGTGATCATATAGTCCAGTATTTGGTAATTAATTTCAAAACTGGCAGCTGACTGATTAATCGTTGCAGCAAATCTCATTGATGTAACCTGTTTCAGAATGTCTATGCTGCAGTAAAAAAAATAACATTTTTATGGACCTTTCAGTTCATAGTAATGTGACGTTGTAGAGCAAAGTGAAGGAGAAAAGTGTTTTGTGATTTTCAAACTCTGTCTTTTGCTCTCTGTGATGTTTTTGGACCAATATTGGTGCTGAAATTTGGAAAAAGTCTCGTGTGTGTCCGTCTTTTAGCTGCAAGGATTTACAAATTAGCCGGTGCAAGTCCATGCAAATGAGTGCGAACAGAAAGAATCGTCACGTATGTGTCATACTAGTTCTATCAAAAGCCCGAAAGCGGGTATTTTTGTCAGTGAGTCAAACCGTGATATACACACAGCATTACTAATTTTCCTTGATTACAGTTTCTTTGTCTTCCTAATTTGTGGATATGTTACCGACAGAAAACGTCCACTGCAAAATAACTCAAGGACCTACATTAACCTTCTTTAACTAACTCATCTTTGTTGACGGTTTTCAGTTCAGATAAATGGTGCTGCCGACCTTATCAGGGTCCATCGGGGGACATTTCCAGTTGTAGAGGTAATACTGCAGATTTCCATCTCCTATGCCAAACTTGAGCTTCTCCAGAAACACCTTATTCTCCATTAGATCCAAGGCATTGAACACGTCGAAACCTTTCTGTTAAACACAGAATCAACATTGTGATGAAACACAGAGCAGCAAGAAAACAATAAAAATCCCGGTTTAACAAAAAAAACTCTGACATATGATTACTTGGCCTGAATCTTACACTACTTTCTTGTAATTGATGCTCCAAACAAATGTTCCCGTCTTTCTGAATTCAAAGTTAACAGCTGCTAATACAACAGAAGGGTTTCATTATGGGGTATTGGCATATATTTGACAGTAGAAAGCAACGTTACCAGTTTGGCCAGGATCAGTGCATCATTCATTAAGTCCAGTAGTGGGGTTTGTGTATGAACGTTGTAAAAAGAGTAAGCGGCCTTCAGGCTCCTATGCAGAGGGTGATGCATCACGGTCGAGGGCAAAGTGTAGAAACTAGTGAAATCTGTCAATGCACCACCGGCACCCTGAGACACACAAACACAACAACAACAACAGGTTGGCAGGTTTGACAAGCTTTTATCTTTAACAATTTATAAAAAATGACACCAGTCACCAGCCAGAAATGGTAAAAACTGGGAAAAATAACCAAAAAGAAGATTAAAATGGTGATATTACATGTCTCATTTAAAAAGTTGTCAAAACATAAACCATTTGCACCACATTCTGTAAAAACACAAAACCTTCTGAGCTCCTCGGTGCAAATGAAAAGCCATGATCGGTTCAGCTGTGACCAACAGACACGTGACAAAAACTCAGTAACTATTCTGCTGAACTGCAGGCTGTGTTTGCGCAGCAGAGAGGCGACGACGCAAGAATTTGAGAGCAAATTAAAACATACTTGGTCAATACAGTTAATGCAGCATGGCTCAAAACGGTGTACAAGGAAGCAAGTTGTCAGCAGCTGAATGAGGAAACATGTTTCCAGAGATGATGCGCAGAGATGGTGTCAAAAATGCAAAGTTTGTAAAAATGTCCATCCATTCATTATCTATACACCACTTAATCCTCACTAGGGTCACGAGGGGCTGAAGTCTATCCCAGCTGACTCAGAGTGAAAGCAGGGGACACCCTGGACAGGTCACCAGTCTATCACAGGGCTACGCTTAGAGACAGACAACCAAGCACACTCACATTCACACCTACGGACAATTTAGAATCACCAATTAACCTCAGCATGTTTTTGGACTTTGTGGGAGGAAGCCTAGAGAGAACCCGGAGAGAACCCACGCTGCACGGAGAGAACATGCAAACTTCATGCAGAATGGTCCTGGGTGTCCTCACTGGGACGTGAACCGGCGACCTTCTAGCTGCGAGGCAACTAATTGCAGCTCTTGTAAAAATGTAAATAGCTAAAATATCTATAGCATGTAGAGTTTGTGGAACACCTGTGGGCATTTGGACAAATCTTATGTTTAAATTTTTGCACAACAAATAACAAATAATTTTATGATTTACGGCATTATAACTCTGTCATACTGCACAAAGGACTTTTTTTTCGTTCTAAGTCGAGCCATGGTAGCGTTTCCATAAAGCGGAGAGGAGACGAGGTAGATTGAGAGGGAAATAAAACACTCTTGATCAACAAAATGAATGCAGCATGGCTCAAAAACGGTATACAGAGGAGCAAGTTGTTGCAGTTTGTATAAATGTAAACCTTCAAGTATCTGCAGCATGTGGAGCTACAGTTTTTACAGTGATGGTAACACCTGCAGGCACTTGGAAAAATGTTGTACATGTTGTTTTTCAATTTTTGCAAAACGAATAATCGAAGAAATTCAATTTTGGATTTTTTTTCTTGATGATTTTGGACATTAGAACTTTGCGCAAAATATATTTCTTTGCTCTCTTTCCCTCTTGCTGTGGTTGTTCTGTTTCCACAGAGGTGCTGGACTTTATATTGCAGCAAACATTGAGCCCACAGTGAGGAAACATGTGACAGGAGTGGGAAGAAAATAAAACAAAAAACACCCACGGTTCAATACACAAAAGAGCCAAACGGTTGGTATGTTGGAGACACAAACTGAGTCCACATACCTCTACTACATATGTGTCAATTATGTTGTCCTGTGGTAAGAACCAGTGAGCCACCTCCTCTTCTCCCATCGACGGTGCGAGCTGGAAACGTCTCAAATATTTCTGTAGCAGCTCGGTAACCTGGCGGATGTCGCGCCTCTCCATCGGCCGCAGACCTGGAGTCTTGGTGCTCTGCAGGGGATGGAGAGAGGAAAGTCCATATCAGCTCCTGACTTTAAAGAGAAACAGGAAAAAAAGAGATCCTGACAGGTCTAAGTGTTTACATCTGGTAGTCTGTAGAGTTTCATGGTTCTTTGCAGGGTCATGTTTCTGCTCAGATGGGAGAATTTCACTTCCACTAGCTTTCTAGGGTTCAAAGAACGATGCCAGTACCTGAAAACAGAGACACAGAGGAACAGAGTTGAGGAGTATTTGTCTTTGTGACACTAAATCCTGTGTGTTGTCTTTTAATACTGCCCAACATACCTGCATGTAGACACAGGTTTAGGCAGCACGACTCCGGCTGTGTAAACTGCCTGAAATATTCCTTCTAAATTCACCCTCCGTGTTATCTCTCTGATTAGCACTGGAGCAACACGCTTCGAACGCAGCTTCTTATGAACACACAGGAAGTTGATTTCTACCATCCTCTTCAACCTGAAGCAGGAGGAATAAAGAAGACAGACAGTGGGTCAGAGTACAAAGGTTGCCATTAGATCATCACTGCTCTGATCTGAATGTACGATGGAAGCCAGACGCTGTGCAATATCACTTGAATGTCAAATGACTCAAAATTATATCACCTCGCAATAACTGCATCATTTCTTTGTTGAACAATAGTGTTTCCTCTAATGAACAATCAACAACAAATACTTTAGAAAGACAATATTGAAAATTCAGACCCCAAAGTAGAAAATGCAACAAAACTGAGAACACCAGTGATTACCAATAAGTCTAAATGCATGAACACAGTTCTAAAAATCAGCTGTAAAAACCTAAACTTTCACAGTTTTGGACCTACGAACTGTGTCTATCTGCATGTCTTCATACAGAAAGATCAACTAAAAATCAGTGAGAAGACAGTGTCAGCAGTAATCAGGAGGTTAAGAAGGAGCCATAGTAGCACTAATCAGGGAGTCTGTGTGAAGCTCAGACAGTATGAAGGACACTTCAGAACATCAACCTCTATGGACAGAGGCCATGAAAAAAGTTTTACTTGTCCTTCAACACAAAACTGCAAATACAAACCTAAAAAGAAACATGAAAAAATGAATGTTGGAGCACATCCGTTGGTCAGATGAAGATAAATGTGTTGGGCTCACATGGAGTCCAGCATGTTTGGTGTGAACCTGACCAGGACCACCACAGTGGATGCATCGTCCTGACAGTGAAGCACGGAGGTGGCAGCATCATGATATGGGGCTGCATGAGTGTAAAAGGTGTTGATGACATTTATAGATGAATGTCTGAGGATAAACCAGAATACTGGCTGACAAGATGGAGGAAGAGGAATATTCCATCAGGAGAACCATCATAAAGCACACTCTAAAGGGTCTTTAAAGACACATCTAGTCTGAATTGTATTCAATAGACCAACTTAGGGATATTTTAAAGAGAAAGGCAGAGCAACACAAGCCTCCAGCACAGAAAAGATGAAAAAAAAATGTCTTTAAAGAATGGCAGAACATCTCTACAGAAATTTGGTATCCTCCATGCAGAGAAGTCTGTCATGAAGAATAAAGGTGGACTTATGAAGTATTGAAAAAATAAAAGTTATAGTGAATCTAAACTACTACAGGAAATACCGTACTATTCAACTTCATTTGACATTTAGGTGATATTACACAGGTGTGGGCTCACTTCTTTATTGAATATGATTGGTTAGGAGTGCTCACGTGTCATAGATGCGTATATCTGCAGGGATGGCACTGATGAAACCAACAAGCTTCTTATTTGAGGACACTCTGACTCCACAATGCCACTGTGGTAACCAGCCAGGTGGACGTAGAGCCCTGAGAAGGAACGACAGGGGATGTTTAGCGGGAGCACAAACATGTGTACCGTGTCGTAAACAAGAAAGACATCATCGGTGAAAGCGTACCATTTGAGAAAGTTTGGTGAATAGTCAAATCTGAACATGTTATCGTCATCCTCCACGTAGTTTTCATTTAACAATGTGTACAACTCCTTGAGCTGAAACAGAAAGACAGTAAAAATTTCATTTTATGTATGATCTCTATCATTATTCTTATTGTAGAGAAACGCTGCACTTACTACATCTGCATTACTGAGATCCAGAGTGTCCCACATAAAGCCTTGAGGTAAAGAATATGGCTCCTGTCTGATGTTTTCTTTGTCGGCTTCAATTGGCCCGTGACTTGTCACAACTTCATCTGCAAAAATAGCACGGCTTTTGTCAGACATAAAACGATTTTGCATTCACCAGCACCTCCAGCAGACCTGATTATTCCCTGTCCTTTCATTTGAGCGTGTTCTTCAAATGGATAAAACAACAAAACTACTGACAGCATCAAAGACACACCACAGAAATCAGTTTCTGTTGGTCCCGTGTTGACCATGGTGCGAGCCTTCCTGCACAGACCCCACTCTTGGGCAATAGTTGTCATGGAAACAGCTTAATCTAATGCCACTGAGCACGCCCAGCGAGAATGCCTGGACCCCGACTGTAACACACAGATGACATGCTTGTGGATGCTGGGTTTGAGAGAAAGAAAAAACCAGTAGATGGCACTGATGCACAGAATCGGTGTTAAACCTCGAAACTTGGAGCAGTTTCTGGGCGTTGCTTTTTTTTTATGCCTCTGTCATATTTTTTTTTTCCAATGTGGGCTCATTTTTCACTGTATTACAAAGTCCTGCACTTCTATGGATACAGCAAAACCATAGAGAGAACTCAGGAATGTCTCCTTGTGCAGGACATAATTCCATAAATCATTTAAAAAAGAAAAAAAAAGAGTTGACGTCTTTTAATATTTTACAAAAAAAAACTTCACTATGTACAACATTTTTGAAGCTCTCTATTACCAGCACTGGAAAAAAGAATCGCTCTACATACTATAGATATTTTACAACTTACATTTCCTATTTTGTGTCCGTACCTTTCTAATATCTGCTCTGGGGAAACACAGTCTACAGTTCAGCTGAAAAGTCCCTGAATTTTTATCACATGACTGTTCGTTGCAACTGAATCAGTCGTTGCTTTTCAGTTGTGCAGACTTTTATTTTTTTTTGCAGATTTTGGTCACTGCAAATGGTTTATTATCAGATCATTTTAAGTAGAATAAAGTGATTCTGATATCATTTTTTTTAAGGGTTGAGTTTAAGAACCGTCAGAAAGTTTCCTGTTTTTACAGTTTGTGGCTGTAGTGAATAATTTTACAGGTTATATTTTACAGATAACATGCCACCAGTGGGTTTTGGAGTTTAAACGATTAATGAAAAATAAACAACCTCCTGTTGACAGTGGATATAATACTGTTTGTTAATAATAATACTGTGTAATCAGCCATTCACTGAGAACGAATAAAGTATATGATGACTGTCCTGTCTCAATAAAAGCTTATCTTAAACATTACAAATAGTATGTCTGCAGCATAATCTGACCAAATTTAGTGTAAATTGAATAAACAATGTTCATGCTTGCTCTGTCTAATTGATCTTGTTACTTACTTAACTTTGGGACAGGCTGAGTGTCCCAGAACTGGTACTTGTGCTTGGCTGCCTCATCGATGCTCTTCGCTGGACCCTGGCAGGACAGCAGCTCCATGGCTCTTTGGATGTCCTGCAGCTTCTGAATGGGCAAACCAGGGTTCTGGAGGAGTGACGGAACATGTAAACAAGTTAGCGTGAAGACAGTGTAATGGAACATTGCTCTAGCAAAAGACCTTTCATCTGTTTACCTTAGTGACCTCGCTGCTTGTGCACTTCTTGGAGGAACAGAAGAGCAGAGCTTTCTTGTAAATCCGAATGCACGTCTCATAAAGTCGACACACACTATGTCTCACATGTCTCACCGTCTCTCTCTCTCTGACTCGTAGGCATTTTTATCTTAACCGCAATCACATCTGCACACCTGCAGTTAAGAGTTTGTTCTCCACAGCTGCAGGGAAGATGAACTAATCTGCCCGGCAACTGTCAGTTTTGCCTATCAGGAAGAACGCACCTTCACTGTATAAAAGTAACACGCTGTCTGCACTCGGTTGTACTCTCCTGCAGACTGCTTTGCACTCTGTATGACCTGTACATTTGAAGCTTCAAATAAAACAAAGACAAAGACAACACAGACTTCTGGATTTTATTTAATGGTACATACCAGCTTCCACAACAACAGCACGAACTAAACTCTCTCTCTGAGTGAGGAGTCTGTATGTATCGTTTAGCCAAAGACTGAATGGTCTACATAATCCAAACGGAGATCCACGTTTCTCTAAACTGAAATAAAAGTTAATCCTGGTTCCTAAAACTAGGATATCAGGTGCACAGTTAAGCAAAACATTATATATCCCCCTTTTATAGTGAATTTTTATTAGACCAGTAAGTTTCTTCTGCTGTAAAAGATACAAACAAGTGACAAATCACAGTAAGATGAGAGAAGTTCATGTTAAATTTTAACTATTTGAATGTTTATTGTCTACTATTTACCTAAAATTGGCCACTGGATCTTGAAAACACTTGGACATGACTTTACAGCCTTTAAATGTCTTTTGAGCAGCCACAATCTGCATTCACTGAGCTCTTTGGTTTCAGTTATGACTTGCAGCCGACTGGTAAAATTGTGCCTTTGTAGCTGCAGCCCCAGAGCTTTGGGACAACTTTAATATTTCAATCAAACATTCCTTCTGCATTGCTATTTTAAAGAAAAACCTCAAGACGGACATGTTTTCAATTACTTTAGGTTGCTCTTATTGGTCATAATGCTTCATATTTAATTATATTTTTGCATGATTGCGTATCTTATTCTGTTTTACAATTTCAATTGTACTAGTTTTAGCTTGTCTTGTAGTTTTGCACATACTTTTGTTGCTGCACTTTGGTCAACTCAGATTGTTTTAAACATGCTACATAAACAAACTTGAGTCGAAAACTGATTTGGTCACGACTGCATCAGTTTTTCTCAGTTCATAAAGCGTTAGAAAGCTGTGGAACATGTCGAAAAACTACCAGGAACATTTGAGATGGGATTGGAAGATGCATTTCTCAAAAAAGCAAAAACAAAAGTGCAACAATTTCAAAGAATAGGAATGTTTTCCTGTTGCCATATTTAGGAAAAAGGTGAAATGCAATGTCTAACTGTGTTTTGTCACTTGTTTATGTCATTTGGAGCCAGAGAAAACCCACTGGTCAAACAGAAATCCACAATAAGTACAATTTTGGCTTGAAGTTTTTAAGTGCACATGGTGTAGTTACGTCCACCTGAATGCTGCTACCTTAATAATTAGGTTTATTGAGCTATTCGCACTGATTGCCTGTTTCCTTGTGTTGTTTCTGACTCTCCTCACCTACTCCTGGCTCCCAGTCTACCTGCCCTGACAGGGTGTGTGCTACCTCCATCCCACCTTGATCTCCTGAGAGTCGGACGCAGAGTCGGACTTGGCTCCCCCCGAGCTCGGCTTCTCTTTCTTCCGCTTCTGCTTCTTCTTCTTCCTCTTGGCGCCCAGATCTCCGCCCGGGCTGCTGCAGACACGGAGGAGACAAACACACGGGACATGAGCGGAGGACGGAGGCTGGACTCACTCGCGGAGCTAACGCTAGCTGCCATAGCAACGACTGACAGCTGAGCTACTCGCTGCTAGCTGGCTAGCTAGCTGGCTAACGGTTCGCTGCTAGTGAGCTAACGGTTCGTCCTAATGGTTGGCTGTCGGGACTGTAACGGGGAGTAAAAACGTGCGTAAAGACACACGCGGGTAAAATAAAACACCATGAAAACGCCTTAAATGCGGGCCTTTAAGCAGACAGTCCGGCTGTGTTTGTGTCGGCTAATATTAGCAAGCTAACTGCGCTAACATAAACAGGCTGCGTTTCCCGAGCGGACCGGACCGGACAGGCCGCCCGCACTCACCCCTGCATATGCTCGTTCTCCTCCTCGTTGTCTCCGTCTATCCCGCAGGTGTCCTGGTCGTCCAGCTCCAGGCTCTGCTGGCTGGCCGCGGATTCACTGTCCTCCGCCATCATAAAAAATGGTTAAATAAAAAAAAAAGGAAAACAGTGAGCCGCCGTCAAACAGAGCTGAGAGGCTGAGAGACGGAAAAACAAAGGAAATGTCGGAGGAAACTGCGCCGCCCGCAGGACGCAGCGGGAACTGCAGCTACAGTTGGGACCAGAATTATACATACCCTCAACAACTTTAGATTTAAAATGATATTTTATTTGATGTACAGGTTTCTTCTGGCTGGAAATAGCATAAAGAAGTGAAGAAAGATTTATACTAAAGATACCATGTCAAAATTATTCATACCTTTAACTTTAGATTAAAAACTATTTTTTTATTTGATCAGCATGTTTCCTGTGGCCTGGAATGGCAGAAACAAGGGACTAAAGATTTACACTAAGTTTATACTACAATGACTAAGTCCAAGCTTATTCATACCCATAACAACTTTAGATTTATAGTGACTTTTTACTTGACCAACAGGGTTTTTTTTTCAGACTAAAAATAGCATAAACAAGTGACAAAAGATTTATAGTTAATTTATAGTGAAAAATACCATATTTAAAAGTATTCATATCGATAACAACTTCAGATTTATAATGACTTTTTATGTGACCAACACGTTTTCTTCAGGCTGGAAATAGCATAAACAAGTGACAAAAGATTTATACTAAATTCATAGTACAATTACTATGTCAAAAATTATTCATACCCATAACAACTTCAAGATGTATAGTGATTTTTTTATTTGACCAACCGTTTTTTTCTGGGTGGAAATGACATAAACATGTGACAAAAGATTTATACTAAAAAAAAAAATACTGTGTTCAAAAGTATTCATACCCATAACAATTTTAGATTTATAGTGACTTTTTATGTGATCAACAGGTTTCTTCTGGCTGGAAATGGCATAAACAAATGACAATTTTATGTATGTATTTATTTTAATAAAAGCATCGTGACCATAATTATTAATACTCACACCAACTTCAGACTCATAAAATTTTTGTATGTGACCAACAGGTTTCTTCTCGTTGGAAATGACATTAATACGTGACAGAAGATTAAACTAAAAATACCATTATCAAAATTATTCATCAAATATTTTCTTACTGTATCAACATCTCAGTTTTCTTTCAATATCTCCTTAGACGTCATTTGTTTTCTCATCGTGTATCTGCTCATTATACTAATTTAAACTTTTAATCTGATGTCATATCATCGGTCGTACTGTTTGCTGAACTCATTTTGTTATGTCAGTTTTAGATGCTCTGTCTACTTTTGGAAAACATGCATTTGTGAATATCAATAGTCTGGAACACTACAGGAAATGAGGCAGCTTCCAAACGCATGATGCTACCAAGAACTAGGCTTTCTATGTGTAAGTCTGGAGGTAATGATGTAGAAACTGTTCATGTGCTTCTGTGGTGCAAATTTATAAAGTAATATGCAATTCTTCCCCCAAAAAACCCAACACGTGTAGTTAATCTGGGTCTAGAAGATCGACAGGAGAATAAATACTTGACAGAAATACAGAATGCTTAAGAGCGTTGCTGCCTCATACGTCATTATATTTTGAATTAACCAGTGACTTTTGTGTTTCCTTCCCATGAATAAAGACATTTCCACCTGAAATTGATGCAGAAAAGGAACAAATCGCTGCATAGAGATTACCCAGAATGCAAGAAATGAAGTCTTTGATACCCACAGTTTCTTGTTGGAGGACATGAAGACCAAACTCTTGGTGTTTGATGAGTAAGTTTGCAGGTAATAATGTAAAATCTGTGTCACTGATTTTGTTCTTCTGTGGTGCAAACTCGTAAAGAAGTACGTTCTTAATCACAATGTAAATAACCGACATACATGCAGTGAATTTGGTTCTTTTAAGGGTTATTTTAGGGTCATTTTTGCAGGAGTTTCTCACATTGACGGGACAATCCTGCATTATTAAAGCACATCTGATATTTAATATGTTTCATAAATGAGGAGACTAAATGAAATATGAACAAGATTAACCATTTTTTCGTGAGTGTACATTTTCTAGAACGCACTGAACAAATGAAGTGCAAAGTAATTACTTAAAGAGAGAAACTCCTGCAATGAGCTTCTAATTTAAATATTTGCTTTTGGCTTTAAACACAAGTGGAAAGTCTAAACGGTGCTTCGGCTTAATAATGTCCTTTAAAAGCACACGAGTAATCCAAAATACTGAGATGTTTAGTATATATTAGACACAGTTATGATAAAAAGAGCCTCACTGACCTGACATAAACACAGACACACACACTGAAAGCTCCAGTTTGGCTGTTTATTCAGAATAATAGGCTTCAAATATAATGCAAGCAACCGATTTACACACTCAGGAGGCCGTATTGCTACTCCACCCTCGATCTGGAGGTTGCTGTGGGATACTAAGAGAGAGAAAAAGGCCATTCACAACACCGACTCACGCATCGTTTCCCTCAGGCAGACGTAAGGAAAGAACTATACACACTCTGGAATATGATTGCTATGACTATATGAACCTTGATTGGATGTAACACAAACCCAGCAGCATCGCAGAAGGACGCTGCAGAACATTCACCCTTAGAAAAAAAAAACCAACAACACAAAAAAACATGAAAATGCACTGAAATGACCTGCAGTTAAGCTTCACATACAATCGCACTTAGCTTCACTGGAAACTTCTGCAAGACAGTAACTGCTTGCTTCTAATAGAAATCTGTGTTTTTGCTGATTGCTGTGGAGGATTTTACGATTGCAGCAGCAGCAGCAGCAGCAGCAGCTGGTGGACATTTTCTGAGAGGTCTGCAGCGTAGTGTAATAGTGCTGAGGAAAGTTTACTGTATGCTTCCTTTCACAAGCAGGAAAGAGAGAAAGGGAGGGCTGAGGTAGAGGAGGACAAGCTGAAGGCAAAAGAAGGTGAGAAATAAATAATCTGTAGAGTCCGGTTGTTCAAAGGCACTTGGATCACGGGAGGGGGAATAAAAAAATTAAGGTGAAACACAGCAAACAAAAACAGTTAGGTTATGTGGTGTTCTAACGATAAGGCGGGTGAGGAAGAAAAGCCCTTAAAGAAAAGAAAAAATAGCCTATTTTCAGGTAAAATACTTCATGTTGGCAATTAAAATCAAAATTACAAAAAAAGGCATCTCAAGCAGCCGTATAAAAGTGATGCATAGCCTTCAGAGCAAAAATATGCCGGTCAGTGGTTCAACAATTACAAAACCCTTCATATTATTACTACACCTCACTTGTTTTTGGGTGGAACCACAGTTTCGTAGTGGTATTACGTCCTCACGCACCAGCAGAGCGGCGTGTCACATTATCAGAGCGGGTAGTGGTTTAATTTCCTGTTCACGGAGCCGTCTGACAGGCTAGATTAAACTCTAGCAACGTACTAACAACACCATTCAGAGTTACATGTTTGTAGATCAGGAGTGAAACTGCTGCGCTGCTCAAACTAAACCCTGGAACACACGTTTAATTTCCACCTGCACAGATGATTCACTGTCTTTAAAACTGTGGGTCATAATCTCGTTTCTGGATTCTGCCAGTGGACTGAGGCCAATATGGCTCAAGAAAAAAAAAAAACAACTTCCTGTAGTGTTTGATTTCTGAGAACCACCCAACAACTGTGTCTACAATGCTATTCATAAAAAAAGGCATATATTTATTGTGCATAAAATATCCTAATTTCTTGCCTCCAGAGTCTATCCGTGTCCCTTCAGGCGATGCGTACGTCATGCCCGATGAGTTTATCGTGAAGATGACGAAGTGGTCATTTCATGAAGCGTCCTGGAAGTTCATGAAGGAGCTGAATTGTTCATTTCTGGACTAGAAGAGTTCCCAGTGCTGAAATACTTTCTCAGTGCTAAGTTAAGAACAAAGGGCTTCGATTTAAACGGGCACATCCTTCACGAGCCGTGGTTAACGGAGAGGTTTACAGTTTTAAAAGTCCGTCTCAAAACAAAACTCACGTGCTAATATGACTCCTAACAAGTTTCCCTGCAAAAAAATCCCCTCATAAAGTGATTTTATCATATGAAATGAGAAATAAAATCTGCAGTCCTCGTTCTTTAAAGCCATATTAGTACAAACCCCTCCCTATTAGAGCTACAGTAACACATAGTGGAATAGCTCTAACCTTTTTCAAACTGTTTATTCTTACTTTAGTAACCAATATCTTACACTGCGTGCTACTACAACGGTGTATAGATACAGATTACAGCTGCAAATAATTACTTCAATGGTTGACAGTTTTCAAGACTGTCAGAGTTGTTGTTAGGTCTCTAAAATGTCACAAAACAATGTTAATTGTCTTGTTTTGACCAAATATATTCAGTTTACTGCCCCAGAGGAGGAAAGAAACTAGAACATTTAAGAAGCTGCAGTCAGAGGATTTTGCTGAAGCTTCACCAGAAACTATTGTGCAGGGACACCATCACTGTATCCTGGGCTTAGAACTGCCATATACTGAAGGAAACACAAACAAACCAGACTGTTTTGGCAGAATTATGAGGTCAAACTACACTAATTCAAAAAACGATGCATCGCGTTTGTGTTAATATGTTATGACTTTGAGAAGAAGTATGATTTCTGACTCAAACTGCAACAATATGTCTCATGCAGTATCTTTGGTTCACATCTTTTAAAGTCCAACGTGTCCCAACTTCAACTCTCCCCACTGCTGTTTGAAATCCTTTGTTGATCATCGCAGGATTACACAAACATTTCAAAGCTAACTTTTAGGAAACCTGGTAGAGGGATGAAGCAATTCGAGTTGGGTACCGATCTGGTTTGGGTTGCAAAATCACATAATAGAAGTGTAAATATTCAATCTATTGGCCTGGGCTGAGAGAATAATCTCACATAGCCAGACCTTCCTCCAGAGCACTGTGTAGGTCTGGAGAATGGTCTGATTGCACCTTATTATCATCTGCTGTATGGGAAAAATAATCTGGCGTGTTTGTATTATATAAGTACAATCACAGTCGTGGAGGGTGGTGATAAAACCAAGGATGAGCTAAGCCCAGGATGCAGTGATGGTGCCCCTGGAAAATAGGGAACTGTCATTAAAATTGCTAAATCACCAGAAGAACCATGATCCTTGGAATCTTTTACAAAATGTGACATTTTTGGCATGTCCTTTGCTGCTCAGAGTTTGTTGTTGTCTTTTCCGTTGGAAAGCGGGAGTTTGAAAATGCTAGCATAGGGGAAGAGGAAGCAGCGTGAAATGTGCAACGGAAACTGCATTTATACCTGCAGTCAACATCTGCTGAGTCAGACTCGTGCGACTGCGGTTCCAGTTTCTAGTCTACATTCAGTTTACAGCTAGATTTTAGTTGTTTGGTTTTGACTTACATGCATCTTATATTGGAATTTGTTCAAGTGTGTATCTGAGCCCCGCTTGATTAACTTCACAGTTTATGGTGAACTTCATAATTTTTGCAGAACGAGGACTGGAATACGTTCAATGTAGCTGATTGCATGCGAGTTTTCTGTAAAGACAGACTTGATGAAACGTAAACCTTTCTTTTAACGGTCGTATGTGAATCATTTGAGGTTGAAGGCCAGCAGGGGACGCTCCTCCCTCCTCTGCCAGGGGCTCTTCTTCTCCTCCTCTGCATCCTCGTGCGCTGCGTCGTCGTCGGGGGAGACCGACAGCAGCCCGTGGTCGTTCCTGAACGTCACCCCGTCCGGCGTCGGCAGCGGAGGAGGAGAACTCGGGGATGCGGAGGAGAGCGAGGGCGGATCCTCCTGTATCAGGACTCCCTCGGCTCTTTTGCCCTCCGTGTCCCCTCTGTTGCCCTCTGCTTTGTCTGACAGGTCTGGTCCTGTTTCGCTGTCCTGGGGGCTGCACTTCTCCTCCTCGCTGCCTCCCCCGTCCAGATCATCCACGTACACCAGCTGGGTGTAGGCCGACGCTGGTGTTGCGCCCTTCGATCTGTCGACCTCCCGTTCCTCCCGCTCGGCGTCCCTCCCCCTCCGACCGACTCTGGGCTCGTTCAGGTCGACGCCGGAGTCCAAACTGGCATCGTTACCATGCCTCCCTTGCTGGCCTCCTGTGTTGCTATGGCACCCCGCCCGCTGGAGGTCGATGTAGGAGTGGCGGATGTGAGCGTTGGAGCGTCCGTCCAGTGAGACGAACCAGGCTCGAGGGTGAGGCAGCGGTTTGCCTCCTCGCAACTCCATTAGCGTCTTTTCAGCCAGTAAGGTGTCCTCGCTGTTTATTTCCACCAGAGCTGTTTCGCCGAGTGCTGCAGGAATAGAAAGCGACTCTGGCAACCCGAGAGCCTCCCCGTCGCCCTGCTTGGTGGGACCCGGGGTGCAGTCAGTTGGGGTTTGCCCTAGGGGCTGCTGGGAATGTGAGGCGTTGAGCTCGGCCTGGATGGTCTCCAAGTCGCTCTGCTGGTCGGTCTGCAGCAGCAGGGCCTGACCGGACAGAGGGTGCTCTCCGGGCAGCCGCATGTAGTGTGCCGGGATCACCAGCGTCGGGCGCACTCTGGGGTAGCCTTCACCTCCGCTCAGCAAGTCCACAGAGCCACAGCAGAGCAGCTGGCCCGGCCGGGAGAGCAACTGGGAGACGGGTCGTTCCAGGTGGTCCACAGAGCGGGACAGGAGGTGGTCGGGAGCCCTGCACTCACCTCCGTCCCCTCTGCTGGGGGAGTGAGGAGGGGAGCAGGGGGAGATGCAGTCGATAATCCCAACGCCGCTCAGCTGCGTGGCTGACACCTGACCGTGGTGGGCCGACGACAGCGGGTCCGACATGGGGTTGCTGGACGAGCACACGGAGGTGTATGATTGACGGTAGCCCCGGTCGGTCCCGGATGAAAGTGCAGCTCTGAGCTGGAACGTCTCCACGGACTGCCGATAGTCTCTGCTGCGAGGCGTCAGGTTGCCAAGAGATGAGCCGTGGTGGCTGTTGTTGCCCAGAGACGAGCGGCTGTGTTTGCTGTGACGGATTAGGTTGTGTTGACGCTGATTGTCTTGATGCTCGTACGAGGAAGGCTTCAGCATCGGAGTCGTCATGTCGGGCTCAGTTGCTGTTGAAACAAGTTCAAGCTGCACCTGGAGGCAACAAAAAGATAGAAACTTTTCAGACATAATCACATAAAACGAAAATAACAAACAGTTCAACTTCAGAGGCGATTCAGGCGGTAAAGAGAAATTCATCTGTTTGTTTGTAACACAGTGTTAGCGTCTATATCTATTTTTCTCACTTGACCAAACTTTGTCAAAACATAACCCACAATGCAACTAAAGCACCAACATTCAGATACTCAGGTGAGTTAAGTTTGCAGCAACTCACGTACTCTTGACACCTCTGACTCTCTGAACCAGAAAACAAAAAACAAAAAACAATCAATCATCAGGTCTTTAACTTTCTAACAGTTCATGAAGAAATCATGTGTGACATATAGTTCCTTCTGAAAAAAAAAAAGAACAAATCTAAGCTTCTAATCTTAATATTTCACCAGGATCACTTTATTCTGCATGTCTTTATCCAAAAATAAATTGTTTGCATCAGATTCTGTAAAAAAACTAAAGCTTTTGAGCTCCTCGGTACAACTGAGAAGCCATGACTGACTCAGCTGCTACCAACATTCACATCACTAATATTCTGAGAGGTTTTCTGAGACAAATTAAAAATGTGAGTAGTAAAATATCTATAGTATCGGGTTCTATAAGGAAGACTATCCGAAAAATAAGCTTAAAATTGATATTTGACTAAATCACTTCATTCTACACGCCTTATTCAAAAATTTGCTAAAAACCCTACTGTTAGCATTAGTGAAAAAGTGCAAAAACATAAATTTCTGCACTTTTCTGTGCACCTGGGATGCCATGATCGAGTTTGTAGAGGTTGTAAAAATACATGGAGTAAAACATCTACCGTAAATTCTGGACTATAAGCCACTACTTACACACGCTTTGAACACTGTGGCTTAAACAATGATGCAGCAAATTTATGGATTTTTATGAGTTTCACGAATTTGCCTCGAGACCAAAGTGACATTGAGAGCGACGACAGAGAGACTGAGGAAGTGTGTGACGAAGTAATTGTGAGGCTGTTCAATTCCGACACTGAGGAAGACGACTTTAGTGGTTTTATTGCGTAGGAGGAAGATGAAGATAGCGATCAGTGACTTTTCCTGGTAGGCTGCTGTATGATTTATTTTTTTAACCAGCCGTGTTACAGGCACTGTTTGGAAAAAAGCATTTACGGTACATATTAGTGTATGTTACCGGTATGTATTTCATTAAAAGTTTAAAAATCTTTATGTGTAAATATCTCATGTTACAACGTGGACACCTGCAGCTTATAGACAGTGCGGCCTATGTATGTACAAAACTTGTTTTCTTTTCAAAGTTAGTGGGTGCGGCTCATATTCAGGTGCGCTCAATAGTCCAGAATTTATGGTACAGAATGAAGAGTCGCCATTTTTTTCCTCCAGTATTTGGCAACACCTGTGTACACCTGGGAAAAATGTTGTGCATGTCGATTCCAGGTTTTCTCCATTTTTGAAAAACAACTAATAGAATAAATTTGTTTTTGTTTTTTAAAAAAAAGATTGACAGCATTGTAACTATCACAATGCACAGGGCACATTTTTGCGTTCTCTCTCCTTCTAGTCACAGTTGTGCTTTATGTTTCCATAGAGGTGAAAAATGAGCCCACAGTGAGGAAAAATGTGACAGGAGCAAAGACAACAGCCAGGAGCTGCTTGAGGCTTTAAACAGCACCAGAAAGTGGACAGACCTCGTTGCTGATGAGGTTCAGGTGCGACATGGAGGTGGCTTGATCCCTCTTACTGCTGTCCAGACCAGAGGACAGCGTCAGCTTGCGGTGAGACCCTCGCGGCTTTAAACAGCGACGTCTGGGCAGCACAGAGACACAGCAGAGGTTAGAACTCAATCGGAGAAATCAGCTTCAAGCTTCTTTCATGAACAAACCATAAATCCTTTTTTGTTTGGACCAAGCCTTGTTTGGGATAACAGCCTTTGTAGCACCGGTTCCTTGAGAGCTTGTGCAGCACTCGTCCACACTGTTTATGTTTAAGCAACATAAAACCTGAGCACTCACTACTCCCAGACAGCTTGATGTTATGTTACGTGCTTTAATTTCCATTACAGATTGATTTTTTTGGTGCTGTTATCACAACTGATGAATTAATAAATGTATGAAAACAATGAACTTTGTCAGACAACAGCGTCAGAGAAGTTCAGATGATGCAAAAACTACCAAAAATATTCAAAACATGGTTTGTTTAGTTAAATTAATTGCGTCATACAATGTTCTTATCATAACATGAGTTCTCCTGGATGACATCAAGACCAAAAATATGAATCCTAAAATAGCACATTCACATGTTCCACATAACGAAAGACTTGTTTACTGCACAGCTCTGACATTGTTTGGGTATTGCCTTTGCTTCCTCTTTTTGGAGGCTCACCTAGAAACCTCCATCTATCTTTTCTACATCAACATTGCGATGTGCGTAAACACCCATAAGGAAGGCAAATTAGATCAAACACATCATGCTGCATCCTTTCTTTCGCTGCTTGATGGAAAAAGGAAACTCACAGTCCTCATCGTCCATGACTGATCGACAAGAGAACTCTGTCTGACAGAACATAATCGGCTCAGATTTAAGGGTTCTTGGAGGTTTTTTAACTTTATTCACGAGACAAAGAGGTTTTTTTTAACATGTAGGCTCCATATGTGCACAGCAAAATGAGCGAGAAACAGATTTGGTTGCAAATAGAAATCTGGAAATATTTCAAGTGTAGAAAAGATGAGGTTGACGAAAACCAGGTTCTGTGTCTGCAGTGTCTTCTGGTTGTTGCCACCACATGAGGCAGAAATTACTCTGATCAGATCTGGATGCTATTTTTAAATACCTATTGAAGCTAATGTTTTTACAGAACCAACACAATCATTCTACAAGGGCTGATGCTTTGTAAAAAAAAAACAAAAAAAGTTTTTCCAGTATTTTTAAAATATCGCAGATAAACAAAATATTGTAATGTCTGTATCTGTCTTGTGCAGCTCGTCTCTGTCAACAACAGCTTTTTTTTAACTTTTAAATTTCTTTTTTTGGACATTTTTACTATATTTTTTGTTATTGTTTTACTGTTTATTGTTTATTTGTGTATCAAGTATCTGTTTTGTATATCTTTTGATTTTGTAGGGCTGCTGCCTTGGCCAGGTTTCCCTTGTTAAAGAGATTTTTAATCTCAGTGGGACTTCCTGGTTAAATAAAGGTAAATAATTAATGCAGATGCACTCCCCTACAAAATCAGCCTTCTAACTCTAGAGTAAGTGTTTCCTTCTAAACAGAGCTGCTGCTGAAAATTCCTTTTTTTTTCTTTATACAATCACAGAAAAACTAAATACTTCAACTTTTTCCAGTATTGTGCAGCCCTACTGTTTAAGCAGTGGCTTTTCTAATCTTGTTTTTCTGTTTTTGATGCAGATGCACTCCCTTATAAACTCAGCCCTAGAATTCTAGAGTGAGTATTTCTTTCCAAATAGAGCTGCTGCTGAAAATTCCTTTATTTCCCTTCATACAATTGCGGAAAAACTAAATATTGCAACTTCAGTTTTTCCAGTATCGTGCACCCCTACTGTGTGAGCAGTGGCTTTTTTAAGCTTTTCTAAAAATAATTTCGTCATTTTTGATGCAGATGCATTTCCGTACAAAATCACCTCTAAAATTCTAGACTGATTAATTCTTTCTAAACAGAGCTGTTCAAGCCATCTGACGAAAATTCCTGGATTTTTGTGAACTTATAACCGCAGAAAAACAAAATGCCTGTTTTTTTTTCTTCCCACTATCCAGATGGGACATATTGCTGTGGAAAGACACACCTGCAGTAGTACAACAGCAGGCAGAGCAGGCAGAGCAGGATGAGGGCCATGCCTCCCAGTATCGCCAACAAAAACACAGTGTGGTATGTGCTGATGTCCTTCGCAACCACTGGACCTGAAAGAGAAACAAAAATGTCAGTGACACATGAGCTTGCTGTCAAACTTCTTGCAGTATTTGTTCAGATTATATGTGTATTTTACAGCTTTGTGCAGGACAAACAGGATGCGCAGGCAGCCACAAGCCCAAGTGAATTGTTGTGTTCTGCAGAGTAAATACAGTTTGTGTCAGAGTTTCTCACCTGAGTGTAGAGGGGACATGGCGGCCACCCAGTATCCCAGCTGAGGAGCAATGTAGGTCAGGCTGAGCTGGTTTCCGTCCCTCTGCACATGAGCCCAACTGCTCTTTATCCAGGCGCCTGCACACACAAACACACAAATCACATTTACCGACAATTACTCTGTGTTTGGACAACTGTCACCTTCACAGTGAATAAATCAGTGTCCAAGTGACGACTGCAGCAACCTCCCGCCTGACTCGAGTCAACTCAGTAAGTCAGCACTCACTTAGCTGCATTTAGACGCGAGTCAAGAGGAAATCATTTATGTTTAAGGTCAAACAATTTGTAACGGTCAACCATATTAACAAGGTTTCTGTAAGAGTTCTTAAGGCCACAATTTATTTGCTATACAATTTGTCAGAACAAGAAACTGGGAATAAAGAGTTTCAACAGTGCTTGAATGAATCATGTAGAACTTCTGCCAGGAAAAATAAACCAAATCTGAGCTAAAAATCAGGATATTTTATTAAAATGATTTTATTCTGCTCATCTCAATTAAAACATTACCCAAAAAATTAACCCTTTGCTCTAAACATTCTGTAAAAAACACAAAATTCTGCACTCCACAGCACAACAGAGAAACCACGTTTGACCCTAACATGACCGACAGTCACGTGACAAAAATGCAAGGACTTTGTTTGAAATCTGAGTTTACACAGAGCAAAGAGAAGGCGAGTACAGAAACAAATAAAAACTGTAAACCGGAAAATAACATGTAGAGCCACAATTATTTGTATTAATGTCAGAAACACCTGGAAAATGTTCCAGATACCAGTTTGTTTTTGTTTTTTTCCAATTTTTGGAAAAGGAATAATCAAAAAATGTAACTTTTTTCTTTTTCTTTTATGATTTATAGCATTACAGCAGTGTCATGGTGCACAGAAGACATTTCTGAGTTTTCTCTCCTTCTTCATAGTTCTTCTGTTTCCATAGAGGTGCAGGACTTTACGTTGCAGTTAAAAATTAGCACAATGTAACAGGAGCATGAAAACACCCAGAAACTGTTGGGGTTTGGTTTATGTTAACATACTGACCAAACTAAGAAAGTATGTTGGAAAACCAGTAAATAATATGACATGAATGCAACCTGGAGCCAGTTAAGCAGGAGGAAACAGATGGATTCATGAGTTAAAAGCTTCTTTAAGGACTAAATAAACATTTGATGTGGCTTTAAGAAGTCTGACAGTAAAGACGAAAACTCTACAGACGAACAGTATTCATGACCCACTGTTGTCTAACTCAGATCAACATTTTACCTGACACCAAATTCAATACTTTTCTTTTTTGTTTATTCAATACCCGTCCGTTCTCTGATTAATAGCTGGAAAACCCAGTTTGTTTTGGTAGTACCTGACTCACCCACAGGGAGGCAGCACGTAAACAACAGAGGGAGCCCATGAATAGGATCACACTGAGCACAATGGCAGCTCCAGCACTGCCAGTCCTAAAAAACCACTACAAAGCCAAAAGGCCCTGATTGATTGGCACACAGCTAAATCTGCTCCAAGAGGAAACACTCAGCTGTGCTTTTACGCTCCCAATCCTCTGGGCCTCAGGGGCGAACATGGCGAGACCTACTTTGTGTCTATGTTTATACAAAGTTATACAACATAATGCGGTCTGAAATCTACATTAAACCTCTCAACCACACAACCTGCCGGGGGGTGGAAAAGGGATGTTGTGTTTAAACAAAACTTCACCACGATATCATAAAAGAAAACCATAAAAACCTTTTGACGTACCTGAACTACAACATTGACCAAATCTAAGGCTAAAATCGGGGTGTTTTATGAAAAAAAAATCACGTTATTCTGCATGCGTCATTCAAAAATGTACCAAAAATAAAGTGTTTGCACTAAACAAATTATTAAAAACTGTAAAAATTCTGCGCTCCTTGATGCAACCATAAACTCATGACTGACTCAGCTGCAACCAACAGTGACACGACAAAAATTCAGAGAGTTTGCAACTGAACTGCAGAGGGAACAAGTGTGGAAACAAATTAGAGACTGAGAGGAAAATAAAACCTACTGCATGAATAAATTAAATGCGGCATGTTTCAAGAATGGTCTAAAGAGGAGCAAGTTGTTGGAGGATACAGTCAGTATGGTGAAACCTCTTTCTAGAGTTGATGTGCAGAGTAGAGTGAAAAATGCCCAGGTTTAACTGGTTGCAAAAATGTAAATATCTATAGTATGTAGAGCCACAATGTTTTCAGAGCAACTTCTCCTTCAAAACTAACAAAGTTCTATCTTATGTTGTCTTATCTTGTTTGGAAAAATGTTGATTTCAGGTTTTTTGCAAAATAAATATTCTAATAAATTCAGATTTTTTTTCTTTTTAAATGATGTATAGCATTAAACTGCACAGAACATATTGTGGAGCTCGCTCTACTTCCAGCCACGGTTTCCATAAGGTTGCAGGATTTTACATTGCAGCAGAAAATGAGCCCACAGTGAGTAAAAATGTGACGGGAGCCAAAAAAACAGCCCAAAGAAATGCTGCAGTGACACAGTTCTGAACAAAGGGAGACTCCAAGATCGGAAAATCTGGCCCACGTTTGCTCCTGTGGCGGTTTAAAGATCTCTGGGCTCAGCTTTAAAATGCCCAAAGTATCAACATGCAGCGCCCATAAAAAGGGCTTTGATAGAAGCTGAAAGAACACACACACACTTGTGGCCTGCAGCAGCCAGTATTTCCACAACAGAAGCTGTCCCCGGACCCCTCTCCAGGCTACATCTCATGTTCCTAAGCAACCCGCCAAATAAGTAACACAACAGACTCCTGATTGAGTGTCTCCACTGAAGGGTTAAGTGTGTGTGTGTGTGGTTATTTACATGTTAAACTGAGTCTAACAAACATGCACAGAAAAAGAACTTTTGATATCCATCTGATCTCTCACAAAGAAGTTTTGTTTACAAAGTGCGCACATGGAGGACACACGCAAACCTGTTCCTCTTGTGCAACGGACATCTTCTCATGTATTGTCGGACGCCAAGCAAGCATGGAAAGAAATGATGTCATATGCAAACAGATCAAATTCACCTGTTGTGTGTGTGTGTGTGGGTCATAAGCGGACACACCTTCGTCCTCAGATGATGCAAATAGCTCCCTGACATGAGGCGACCACAATCTGTTGACTTTGCATGAATAGGGCGGGAAGCAGAAGTAATATACCGGGGGCCGTATTGACGTTCTAAATGTTTGCACTGCGTCCGAGCGGCTGAAGAAGTCTGTCGGAGCTGCATTGTGTGCAAGCGTGGGAACGGAGTCATTAAATGTCAGCATTAAACGGGTCAGGCGCACGGAGAGGACTCCCCTGTGGAAACGGCTCAGACGGGGTGAATCTGGGCAGGGCCAGGCACAGTGTTTGCTGAGTCACAAAGCTTCTCTCGTTTCTCTATCCTTGTGTCTTTCCCCCTTATCGCTCCACTCTCCTTGTTTGTCCTGTTCGTTTCCTCTTCTTGTGAAGTGTTTTTCCATCTCAGCATCTCTTGTATATTTGTCTTTACTATTTGAATGCCCCCCTCTTCCTCTTCTTGTTTCCTCCAATCTTAACCCTCCGACCCATGGCACTTCTTTTTTGTTCCCGTCACATTTTTAGCTCACCGTGGGCTCATTTTTCACTGCAATACAAAGTGCTGCACCTCTACGGAAACAGCACAACCGTGGATAGTAGCAGAAATAACTCCATGACACGGCTATACTGCCATAAATCAGAAGAATTCTCTACATCCTATAGATATTTTACTATTTACATTTTTCCCTCTACTCTTCACATCATCTCTTGAAAGATGCTTCACCATGCTGTATCCATCTTCCAACGACTTGCTCCTCTGTATACTGTTTCTGTGCACATTTGTTTATTTGACGACATGTTTTATTTTGCTCTTACTTTCTCTAATTTGTTTCCACACTTATCTCCTCTCTGCTCTGCGTAAACACTTTGAATTTTTGCAACGCGACTGTCGGTCACAGCTGAGTCAGTCTCGGCTTAACAGTTGTGCTGAGGGCTGCAGAATTTTTTGTATTTCGCAGAATCTGTTCAGTGCAAACACTTAATCTTTGGTGCCTTATAAACAGACGTGCAGAATAAAGTGATTTGGATAAAATATCCCGGTTTTATACTTCGATATGGCCTGACCACTACCTGTACGCCCCAAAGGTGCAATCATTGTGCTCATTATAATGTGCAATAAATGTGGAGATTACAATGTTTGCTCGAACTCAATGCTGCTTGATACTTTTATTATTGTTATTTATTGATGCACAAGTGAATGAGGAGTGTGTGTATGTGTGCATAGTGTTATTTTAAGCACAGCAAATTTCGTTGTACTACTTGACAGTAAAGCTGTCTGATTGTGATTCCGATGTTTGGGAAATTTTTTTCAAGTAGTTCGAGGGCCGTCGAGAAGTTTAAAATCTAACAATTCTTTTTGTTTCTTTGCAAGATAAATAGCGTAATCATTTCTGAATTTTCGTCAACTGACTGTTGGTTGCAGCGAAGACACATAGGTCACAATGGAACTGCATATCACACGTGAGCAGTTCAAGGACTGTGGGAAAGTTGGAAATTCAATTATTCTTTCTGTTCTTACAGTTTCTCGTTTGGATAAATATCGTAATTTCGTCAGATTTTTTATTACAGAAAGTGTGCTTTTCAAACAAACTGTCAAATTTTGGGGTTTAGAGAGTTAAGGTCTGGTGATTTATTTATTTATAAGGTAAACTACATTAGAAATCAAATCTCTACAAATACTCCGCATAGACAAAGCAGCATTTAAATGTGTCAAGAATAAATAATTTGTCTCGTAAGGGTAAACTGTATTATCAGAGTTTCTGCAGGGTTCACCAAATTATATTTAAGACTTTCTAATACCACAATTAATTCAGATCTACACACCAAACTGAGATGTTGGACAGCTGATTCAGCTCCAGATCAACCGACGCAGAGCATTTCACTTCACCAGAAGAATTTTAATAGATCATAAAGATCTTTTCCTGCAACTGGCAGAGCACAAATACAATGCAGAGACACAGCATGTCTAGAAATAAGAGACTAATGTACATGCTGGGGGATGCTTTGTAGCGCAGACATGTCTGACTCAACTGATGATCTAATCACTGTCTTCAGAGGAAACTGGGTGTGTCACAGTGCGGGACGTTTGACGGCAAAGATTCAATGCTGCTGAGTCTCCTGAACCACAAACACAGCAGAGCTCCTTTGCTATTGTTTAGGTCAGTTCAAGATTTAACTGAGCCCGAAGGAGATTATGCATCAATGGTCCAAACTTGTGATGTGTCGCAGCACTTTGATTTGCAGATTAATGTGGCGCCGTATGTTGGTCATTTTTACGGCCTTATGAATAATTCCATTCATCACTCTGATACAAACTGTGAGCTGTGTGCGCGTGCTTCGAGTTAATGCCCCTGTTGTGATCACTTTGCAGATCATTTACCTCACTCGCACAGTTATTTTGCACTTATAAATGTACAGGAGCTACCTGGACGCACAATCAGAAAGCGTACGTACCCAAACGGGGGTCAAATCTCCAAGCAGGGATGTGATCATTCTCCTTCAGGCCACTGTCGGGCGGCAGCGGCACGGAGACGCTGATTGGATCGTTTACCTGCAGCTCCACGCCATCGTTGGCCAAAAGGTGAACGGAGATGGCCGCCACAGGAGTCAACTCAAAGTTCTTCTCGGTGCCTGTGAGAGCGGCAGAGCGATTACAAGAGTGAAAAAAAATGCAGCGAAAAGCAAAGGGAGTAAGGTGCACAGGAGGGGGGGGCGGTGGTTAACATAAAACAGCTCAGATAAAGGAGAGCTGTCGGGGGCAAAGACAGGAAAGAAAACAAGGCGAAGGCAGGAAAAGAAGGAAACGGAGTGGAGGGTGAAAGGACTGTGAGGTTGGAAAATGTCACAAAGCACAAACGCTGGGGGGAAGGCGGATGGGTATTCAAGTTGAAGGACACACAAAATCAGACAACGCACACATCCAGACGTGGATAAGATTGCCTGAAAGCGTGCAGCCACGGGGCTCGCGTTGGAACAGAGAGCGCACACAGGGGTTATTGTGTTTCAGGAGGTCAGATAGCGAGGCCTCTCTGGGGTGGTGTCTCTTCGCTCCCTGCCCCCCTTCTCAGCAGCTTTTCATCTCTCCTCAACCTTAATTCTTTCGCACCGAATTTCTAAAAACGTCACCTGTGCCGTTGCCGCCGAGGACCTGCAGGTGTGGGAAGTGCTGGATGAGCGAGGGGGAGTTTGCCACGGTGAGCAGGGCGGTCAGGTTGGCATAGGACGTGTTGGAAGGAAGACTTAGAGCTCTGCGCAGGAAATGAACGCTGGGCTGGTTTCTTAAACCTTTGAGAGAGAGACACAAAGACAAAAGCGAGAAACCATGAGATAAGATAAACTTGACTTATCTTTCAAATGGGGAAATTCACACATTAGAGCAGCTAGACACAGATGAAGTAATACAAAAGCAGACAAAACAAAGACTATGTATACCTGTTACATGAAGAAAGATAAAAAAACAAAACAAAAAAAACAACAATAAAAAGACACTAAAAACACAAAAGGCAAGCCAGAGTTGCTGTAACTTGCTGTTACACCCATCGCGAATGTAACCGATATGCATCTTAAAAGGTCCCATAGTGAGCCATTTCAAGTTTTCACCACAAAATACTGCAAAGATGGTTCATTTTACCATGACTGCAATGGTTTTAGAACTGTTCTAGATGGGCTTTTCACTCTAAAAACCAATGAGCTGCTGTCGTCCCCGCCCCCTCCACAAAGAAAACTCTCTGCGATCGACAGCGCAGAGCAGATCAGCATCTGACGCTGGGAAGCACGTGTAAAACTTCCGTCTAACTTTTTATGTGAAGGACTATTTGGCAAGAAAATATCGCCACGGTATTTGTTTTAACTCGTGTGTTTGGGGAGTTGTTCAGACGAGGTTGCAGTTTTAAAATCAGTGGTGCAGAAATGATAAACATGTAGTCTTAATGTCACGGTTTCATACTTTTTACAGCTTTATTGGGAATTCAGTTAAATGTAAATGCAGGATATGTGAGCACAGAGAGCAGCAGAGAAGTACATTTCCTTACTGCGGGATAAATAAACACTTGTTGTATCGTATCGTAGGTAGCACCTAAAATTAAGCTGTCGTTAATTAGTTTGGTGTGCGAGATATTCCACCAATCATCCTCATATGTGATTAAGCCATCGGTTCTCTTGTACGTCACTAAACTAGCCATGTTTCCATATCATTGTCAATTGAATTTGTGGCAAAAATGTGTGCGAAAGTTATGAAACTTGAAACTTGATGTGACTTTGGGGCTGCAAGGTGGCTAGCATCGTTGCCTCTCAGCTAGAAGGTCGCCGGTTCGCGTCCTGGTGAGGACACCCAGGATCTTTCTGCATGGAGTCTCCATGTTCTCCCCGTGCAGCGTGGGTTCTCTCCGGGTTCTCCGGCTTCCTCCCACAGTCCAAAAACATGTTGAGGTTAATTGGTGATTCTAAATTGTCCGTAGGTGTGAATGTGAGTGTGCTTGGTTGTCTGTCTCTAAGTGTGGCCCTGTGATAGACTGGTGACCTGTCCAGGGTGTCCCCTGCCTTCACCCTGAGTCAGCTGGGATAGACTCCAGCCTCCCACGAGCCTAGTGAGGATTAAGTGGTGTATAGATAATGGATGGATGGATGGATGTGACTTAGGCTTGTTTCGATTAACTGTTTTAGTAATACCAGGCTACATGACTGTAATAAACACAATAAAAGTGGGAAACAAAACCAGGTTGAAATATAACAGTTATGTGTATTATGTAGAGTCACCTTTTATTTTTCAGTATTGGTAACACCTGTTGGCACTTTGTAGATGTACAACGCTGTACATCTTCATTTCTGACAGAACAAATATGTGCAACACAAATATTCTACGAAATTCAACTTTTTTTTGTGGCACTATAGCTGTGTCATAATGCACCGAGAACATTTCTGAAATCTCTCTCCTTCTAGTCACGGTTGTGCTGTTTTCACAGGAGGTGCAGGACTTTATATTGCAGTTAAAAATGGAAGGATAAAAACAGGAGCCAACAAAAAAAAAGAAAACTACTTGGAGTTCAGAGGGTTAAACTTCAGTAAGAATTTCTAGTTCAGGAGAGAAGTCTGAACATCACCGGACACTAATGGTCCATCTTGCACACTGATGTTTGCTTTAGCATGTTTTACAAGGCAATTTTGTGTTCCTTGTCTCCGCCTAATGCCTCTATATAAAGTCAACCATCAAATCAGGCTTAATGGAGGTAACTCTGGATCGATGCAGCAGAAGACGAACGACGAGCTCGAGCCAGCGCGATGCCTCGTTCTGATGCTTCCCTGTGTGCAATTAATTGTTTCTTTTCATTCCTCCTCATCCAGCCTCTGCTTGCCATTAACAAATTACAGATTAAATGCAATAAACTGGGGGGAAAAAAACAAAAAACAAAGCTGCTGCACGTAGCTGGAGTCAGCAAGGTGATGTCATTGTGGTCCAACAGAGCCGAGTTCACATTCCTGAGCAGTGAGACACGCTCACAGCTGTATACGAGTGGGTTTCTGCTACACGAGCTTTCTGAGCCCGCACTCTGAAACTTGTTCTGGAAATTCAGGTGTCGTTTCCCTTCTGCGGCTGTTTCTGTGAAAGGAAATGACCCCTGTTTCTGTTCTTTGTGTGCTCCCTTCCCTCCACTTTTACCCCCTTTCACCTCATCTGTTCCTCCCTTCTGTTGGACACTGCTCTTCCCATCCCCCCCCCACCCTCTGCTCCACCCACAACCCCACTTCCGAGCATATACTGTATCCTCCTCCTCCTCTTCATCATCCTCACCAACCCTCTTTTATTATCTTTCCTTGCGCCACACGCCAAGGTTTATCGCTCCCCCGGGCGGCCCGAGTTCACGACATCGCCGCAAACAGAGTGTGTCGGACGGAGGCACGTGCTGCGGGCAGGAGGTTTACACGTTAACGGCGTCTGCATATATTTATGTGAGAAGTTTTTCTTTTTTAGTCGGACAACACAGCTGACACGTTAAATTACTCCCTTGTCGGTTGCAGACGCACAAAAGAGCGAGCGGACAAAAGCGACTGAATTGATTTGCTTGAGTGAGAAAGCCTTATCTAATGTAATTACACTTTAACAAAGAGGCCGACTAACAAAGACACGCTCATTTGTAATGTGTGTATAGGAGACGGCTGATTTTTTTTCTTATCTCCTCCATTAGATCTTATTTGACAACGAGCCATTTGATGTAAGCGGCAGGATTTTCCATTTTTATTAAAAGCAAATATGCAGTTATTAAAAAAAAAAAGAAAAAATCGGAAATTGGAAAACTTAAAATACGGTGGGAAAAAATCTGATTAAAATGATAACACTCAAGCTCATTTTACTTTTTCTTACACACAAATAAATACAAAGGGTGCATAGCAGGGCTGCAACTAATTATTATCTTTCTTGCTGATTATTTTTTTCAATTAATCAAGCAGCTGTTATGTCCATAATTCTCAGAAAATGGTGAAATGTTGAACCGTGTTTCCCAATTTGTCCACAATCCAAAAATATTCAATTTACTGTCATAAGAGGAGGAAAGAAATCAGAAATATTCACATTACAAAGCTGCAATCAGCGTTTTTTTCTCCTAAAATGCTGCTCAAATCAATTAATCAAGAATCAAAACAGTTGGCTTGATCGATTTATTGATAGATCTTTTGTGCGTTGTTGCCATTTTTGTCTTCACTTCTTTTTAGTGTACATGCAGTTTGCAGGAAGTTACACAAACTAAAATCTTCTTGCAAAGGAACACAAAACATTTCTGGCTGCAGGGAAACAAAATCTGGTTAAACACTGAGATTCAAACTTGGTTCTTGACCTTAAAACAGTGACCACAACAACATGACCACATGTCAATCTGGAGCTACTCTGGAGGTTTTTACTGCAACTCATGATCTTCCTCATGAGACGCCCAGTTGCTATGGAAGCGTTTTCTATTTTTCTGACCATTTTAAGGACTTTGTGTATGTTGGCTTAATGTTTGAGGTGCTAAGTTCAACATTTTAAGAGATCTTCCTCATCTGTGCAAGCCGTGACAGGCACAAAAAAAACATCACCGAACATTTGGCTGAACTGCAGGCAGTGTTTAGGAGAGAGGAGATAAGTGTACAAACAAATCAGAGAGACTGAGAGGAAAATAAACATAGTGGATCAATAAAATAAACGCAGCATGTCTCAGAAACAGTGAACAGAGGAGCCAGTTGTTTGAAGATACTCTCAGCATGGTGGAACATCTTTATAGACCTGATGTGAAGAACTGCATTAAAAAAATAGGTTGTAAAAATGTAAACATTTATTTTTTTTACGTATTATTTTTTCTAGTATTGTACCTTGAAAATATTGTAACAAAATAAATGTTGTACATGTTGATTCCAAGTTTTTTTTTGCCATTTTTGTAAAATTAAAAATCTAAGAAATTCCACTAATCAAGTTTATTTCTCTATTGATTTTTTATAATTTATGGCACAAAGAAGGTTGTTGAGTTCTCCCTTCTTGTAGCCATGTTCTGCTTCATAGAGGTTAAAAAAAAAATTGTGAAAAATTAGCCCACAGTGAGTAAAAACGTGACAGGAGCACAAAACGGCCAGAAACTGTTAAAAAAAAAAAAAAAACAACAATCTGACTAGAAGGTGCATTAATTGTTGCTCAGGAGAAGTTGTAAATGTTTTCATGTTTGTTTTTTTTTATTATTTTGGATTTTATTTTTTTAACATAAAAGCATTGAAAAACATCTTTTTCTTTGATGACAACTGTTTAGAAATCAAAGAACGGTGAGCTGTACGCCACATATACAGATACATGCACACTTGAGTTTACCTTGTAAGCCTGAAACAATCTCAACAACATCTTCGTACACCATCAGAGTCGCAGCTCTCTCTGGCAGCAGGTCCAGACTGATGGAGGAAAACACTGGAATAGATGCAGAACAAACACAGCGCACACACACACTGCATTAACTGTGAGAATAAACCCGCTGTCGGATCAGAAACAAGCTGCAGCACACCTGGCCACTTAACTGATCACTATCAGACATAACCAGTCATTAAAGCATCTTTATACATTTTTAATAGTCCTGCTTTCATCCTGTCTGCAGCACAGGACAGAAGTCTGACCCAGCGAGCTGCACTTCTTCCCTCTTCCTTCCTTCTTTTCACTCCTCCATTGTTCAGAGCTGGTAAGCGTGATAATCCAATTGGCCGCCGTTCCGTTGGCTCATAATAAACCCCTACATTCACCTCCCAACACACACACGCTGTACTGCAGGCTCTCGGGAGGTGTTTTGTATGCGAGAGTGTGTGTGTGTGTGTGTGTGTGTGTTAGTGAAAGGGAAGCTTAAGCAGCCCCCTCGCTGGGTTTTGGCATCTACTGTAATAAATTAGTAATGGAGCACTCCACTCATCATTAGCTCACACACCTGGCACAAACCTATACAATCTTATTTCACATAAACACACAGACAGCTGGCAGTGAGCATTAAACCAATAACCTACATTTGTGGAGTTTAGGAGCATGCTTTTATTCTAAATGTGGTGAATTAATCCTCTAAACACCAGAGTCCACCGGCAGGCTGAAAAAGCTTTTTGTTTTGTTTTAAATTACACCCTTATTTCAAATCAGAAACTATAAAAACAGAGAGAATTATTAGATTTTGAACTTCCTGACAGCTCTTGAACTCATCTTGTTAACTTTTCAGTTTCATTCACAACAGACTGAAGCTTTAAATAGGGTATTTCATGAAAATCACTTTATCTACATCTCAATTAAAAATACGCCCCAAAAAAAAAACAAAAAACATTTGCAGTAATCAAAATATGCAAAAAACATAAAATTCGGCGCTCCTCTGTGCAACTGGGAAACCATGACTGACTGGGTTGCGACCAACAGTCTTGTGATAAAAATTCAGGGACTTTTCGGTTGAACTGCAGGCGGTGTTTATACAGAGCAAAGAGGAGACGTGTCATGAAAGCAAATGAAAAATGTCATATCATTTTTAACACACAGGCAAACATCTGGTGTTTTCACTTGATATAAATGCTTGATTACATTTAAAGAATCTTCTACATTTAATAATGTGTGCACGTGGGAAATGTTGTTGATGATTTCTGGGTTGTTTTTTTTTTGGTAAACTTATTAATTGCGAACAGGTCTCTCTTGAATGAGGCCCTGTGTCTCAACGAGATTACCTGTATTACCTGTAAAGACATGTCTTTGTTTGTTTTTATGGATTTATGGCATCATAACGGTGCCATACTGCACAGAGTTCTTTCTCCTTTGTGCTGTTTCCATAGAGGTGCAGGACTTCATATTCCATCGACAAACGATGAAACAGTGAGTAAAAATGTAACAGAAGCAAAAAAACTGCTGCGGTTCAGAAGGTTAACCACAGTTTGAATGTTTGTGAAGCTATAACAGGCAAACATTTGGTATTTTCATTAAACACAAATGCTGAATCTCCTACATTTAATTAACATTCCAGTTTGACAAAATTGTGTGTGCTCTTGGAGCTTTTTCTGTTTTTGTGACTCGTGGCATTGCAACTGCAGAAAATACACATTTGAGGCCTCTTTATTTTCAGCCATGATTATGCTGTTTCCATAAAAAATGAAGCCACGGTGAGTAAAAAGGCGACAGAAACAAAACCCACCCACAGAGTTCAGAGGGTTAAAGTGTGTCACACCTACCAGGTAATCTGGAGGGAGTCCAGGGCACAGAGTTTGGCACATATCCCTGTTTGGTTGCGGTGACGACCAGCGGCGTCCCGAGGCGATAGGGGAAGCGCAGGTAGGTGTTGCCGTCGGCTGACGAGGTTTCCGTGGTTACAGGAGTTTGGTTGGCGAAGAGCTGCACGGTGGCTCCGATCAGGGGCTGGTGGGTGCTGGCGTCGCTCAGGTGGACCTTCAGGGTCACTTCTGTGAACGGACGGAGAGCTCAGTAAGTACAGTGTGAACGCGACACGCTGCACATAAAGTCTAAACCGTCACGACAGGCGGATATATACGGACACTGCGGTGTTATAATCACAGCCAACTTAAATACAGTCCTCTCACTAACTGGGTTTAGTTTCAATGCCAGGCCCTCTGCTTCCACATTCCAGCCGATCACAAAGAGATTGGACTGCAGCCAGTGGCACTTCCCTTCTAAAACAATGGACCATTTCCCTCTCTCAAAGAAGCCTTAGAGCCGAAGGGAAAAACAACTGCACATATAAAACACCTTCTCCAAGGTGGACGAGGAATGAAAAAGTGATACATCTCGAGCAGAGGAGTAGTACTATTTAATTTGGTGCAACAGTGCACCAACAGCCATAAGTGACCATTAATGTTACGCTGACTTCATAAAGAGTTGATACAGTCATCGTGTTGCAAGTTAAAACTCCCATATGAAAAAATATATACATCCACATTGTCTCAGTATCTTATCAGTCACATTATATGGCAGACTGTGAGCCATTTTTGTAAATAAATGTGTTACAAACAGACTTCAGACCGCAACACCGAATGAGCTAAACAGGCAAAAGCAAAGGATTCAAACAAGCACAAAGTTATTTCATCACATTAGGTTGTGTTTTAGCTGTTTCATAAATCAAAGGATGTTTCTGCCTTTTTGTTTCTTTGCTAGTGAACGTAAAGACAAGAGAAAACAAAGGATTGGAGTCGCTATGCTGCTCAAAAGCAGCTTCCAGAAACTTTTAAGGTGAAATGTTTTCTTTGCAAGTTGCTCAGTGCATGAGTTGTAAATCAATCAACAGCTTAACACAGCTTGACCATTTCCTTTTTATGGGCTCATGCATGCATGCTCTCGCTTTTGTGATGATTGCATCTTCGAGCACCTTAAAATACAACCAAATGCAAATATCCCAGTTTGTAACTTAGACACCAGAATAAAGCAGCATAATGCACTCCAGCAGCACTGCATCTATATTTCTGAGGTATGCCAGACGGTAAAGTGAAAGCTTGCTGAATTGTACCACTGCAGTGAAAATATAACAATGTAGAGCTGCAATGATTACACCATAAACTGCACATTAACTGCTGCTGTTATTCTTTACGCAAAAAGGCAAAAGAGTCCAGCTTGTCACGTGAATATTTACTTTGTTTTCTGTCACAAGTGACGATGAATTAAACAGAATCAAGTGTTGGATGAATATAAAAAGCAATTTAAATATGACAGGAAACATAGCAGAAACTATGCATCAATTTACTGACGTTTTAATGAGTTAATTAAGAGATAATAACCAACCAGATGTACATTCTATGAAGCTGAGTCACCCAAAGTTCCACGTCACTGGTTTTCCAAATGCAGCAAAACAACAAACAAGCTCTGGCCATGGTGGTGGAAATTTCAGGCATTAAAAAAAAACCTCATGGGAGAGGAAGAAGAAGAGGAGAGTGTGAACCTGGAGTTAAACCATAATCCATGGCTGCTATTTAGTGTGACCTTGGGTGATTGCTGCAACAGGAATCAGTTCAAATTTAAACCACTGGAATAAAGGCGACAGTATTTAGATCCTGCCTGTTTCTGTTGAACTTCAAGGACAGATTTTCTTCTCAAATTGCAGCACCAATAATAATCACACACTTTCTTTTAAACGCTGGCTAACACCAAAAAGCTGGTCAGAGAATCTGGTCACAGTCGCTGAGCAGAGGTCGATTTTGCAAGGTGAGACCGAGACAAATATGCTGACGCTAGCACGCTCTTGGATTCGGCATCTTTTTTTGTTCTGACTGCTTGGTTTGCAAACCTGTCTTGTCCTCACACTGTGAGAATATGGAGAATATATTTCTGACACTGCTGAAGCTTTTTAAACAGGCTGCATTTAATTATAGAAACTCAAAAAAAAATAAAAAAATACATCCCTCAACCATCCAAAGAATTCACGATGTTCTGCTCAGCGTTTGTCTGAGACAGCACAGTGTAAATGGCTTTCATGGACATCCACCCTGCAGAGCTTAACTCTCTGAACCTCAATCAGTCTTTGAGTGTTTTTCCTCACTGTGGGCTCATTTTTCACTGCAATATAGAGTCCTGCACCTCTATGGAAATAGTATGACGATGGCTAGAAGCACAGAGAACTCAGAAATGTCTTTTATTTAATTTTGCCACAATCAGAAACACCTGGAAGTAGCAAGTGCAACATTTTCACAAAGGCCCACAGGTTTTTACTAATGATGGGAAAAAAATGTTGCTCTATGCATTAGAGATAACTTATTGTTTATATTTTTACAGCCCCTACGAACTGTGCTTTTCACTCTACTCTGCTCATCAACTCTTGGAAGATGTTTTACCATGCTGAATGTATCCTCCAACAACATGCTGTTTTTACATTTTTTAATCCAATATGTTTAATTTTCCTCTTAGTCTCTCATCGTCTCCTCTGCAGTTCAGCTATAAAAATAGAAATTGCTCTCACATGACTGTCGCAGCTACAGGGCATTTCAAATGTGCCGAGGAGCATGGAATTTTTTCGTTTTTTAAAGAATCTGCAGCAAGCACTTTATTGTTTGTTCATTTTTAATGTAGAATAAAGTGACTTTTATACAAATATGGACTATTGGAAAGTCTGTTTTTACAGTTTCTGGCCCTGATAAATGGTGCAATTTTGGTGATTATTTATAAAGACAACATGCCTTCCAAACCCGCTGCAGGGTTTTGGAGCTCAGAAGTAGTTTTCAGCACATCACGAGACGAAAAAAAAACAACAACAAAAAAAACAACAAAAAGCCAATTTCATTTTCATATGCCAGAGGTATGATAAAAACAAACTCAGTAGAAGAACGCTATAATTTCCCAACCACACGAGCCCACGCGGTGATCTCGTCTCACATGACAACGTGGGCCCTGTTTGATCACCGGCTGACCCGTGGTGACCTTTCAATTACAGCTGAAAGGTTTTCCCTCGTCTTTCCCCCCCTTTACCAAAACACTCCCACCTTCCCCCCACGCTCACCGAAACTGGATTTTGTCATAACTCTTCCTTGAAACCCCACCCACCGTGGCATACCACCGGCTAGACTGATCCCCTTCCCCTCCCCTCGAACAGCTCCGGGGATCCACCGGTCAGCAAGGAACCACCGAGTTCAGCCCGAGTGCATTTAAAAACAAACCTCTGCACCAAATAACACTTTGGCTAGATCTGGCAGCGCTACATGCTAATCTCAAACCAACACATGATTATCCTACGGTGTAAAGATCCGCACTTCATTCCTTCCCTTTATTACATTTGCACAGCGCCGGACTGGAAACAAGACTGGAGTTCCCCCTCAAGATAAACTCTCCGGTGCATTAGGATTTTCTGTGTGTGTGTTGGAGGGATCATGACCGAACTTCCGGTCCCACTCCCACTGATATGCTGCTCGGGGTACCAGCTGTGCTCACTTTAAAAAACTCCCCTGGGAGACTCCAGACTGACATGAACACACACACAAATGCAACAGTCCCCTCCCAGCCTTCGTCCAATAAATCAGGACTAGCTGACATCATTGTTAAACAAGCTGGGAGTCTCCTCGGCGCTCAGGAGAGAAGAAGATCGGCCCAAGACCCTCTGGCTGTGCGCAACAGAAAAATGTACAGTAGACTCTGCTCGATAGGCAAATGCAGTATACAAACTCTAAAACCGAGGGGCTGACTCTTAGGTTTTGTTTTTCCAGGAAAGAAAATCAGTAGTCAAGGACATATTTGGAAGCGATATTCATTAAATGTTATGTATTCACAGCATGTGAAGGCTTATCATAAGATAAGACAGAATTTTGTTAATCCTTTGAAAATTCTTGTGCCAGAACTAGAAAGAACTACGTAACACAATAAATGCTGTGCCCAATAGAAAAGCAATGAGATAGAAGCATGATAAATTAAAGTAGCCATAAGGAAGCTAAAATAAGACTGGAATAGAAAAGTAAGAAGCAATACTGGTAATTACACTGAAGTAAACATGGCTTTATAACAAGGCGTCTTCATTAATACTGATTACTACAACTGAGTATGTACATATATACAATAAATGGTATAAATTAACATTACTGAGCAACTTCTCTGTTCTATGACTTTTATTGCCCACTAAGGCACTTATCTGAAAGCTAAAGATACTGCATTACATCCGTTCTTTCATCAGCAATGTCTACAAAGTCTACCATGATACAAATTTGATTTGATACAGCAACATGCAGTCAATATGAGACAATATACTGCCAATCCCACAATCAATTACGCTTATTGTATTCGCTCACAAAAAAGCAACTAAAGCTTGGTTTCACTAATTCTACTCCTGAGCTCTGAAAATACAAAATGAACTGCAAAACCATTCTTTTTAGAAAGAACTAAATACTTCTGTTGTTTCCCATAAAGTGCCACATATGTCATGTTTAAGGCCAGTTGTTTATTTTGTCAGTTGAAGAGCCTTTTCATTATGAAATAAAATAAAACAGAACTTTCCCATTAAAGCAGGACACACTCAAGCTGGATTTTTGAGTCAATCTTCACTTGTATTTAGCGTTGAAGCAAATGCAGTACAGTCTTGCTGTAAAGTCTTTTTATGATAAGTACATAATACAGCTATCTCTCAACGTACACACCGTTTCATACAGTTTGCGTCTAATCAGAACCTGCAACTTTTACACTTTATTTTTTTGCAAATTTTGTAAATGAGACATTTCAGAAAAAAGTGACTTTGATTAAAACATGGACTGTAAACAGCACAATCTGACTGGATGTAGTAGAACATCCTGGTATTTTTTAGGACACTACATTCAACATACTATATACTGAGACATACTAAATCTGTTTCTAGCATGCTATATAGTACGGCAGTGTGAGTACTGGAACGCAGCTGGCTGTAAACATTAAAAAAATAAACACAGTATTGATCTACATGCTCTTTCAATCCACATCAAAACAAAGAACAAATGTAAACAAA